CCGCATCAATTGGTGTACACAGGCTTAAACTGGGTTCTACTGCCTTGAAAGGAAGGAGCAGTATATTTGGTCCCAGGCTGTGCTTAGATTCATGTCAAGGTGACTGAGCAAATGCTGGACAAGAGGTAGTGGGCACGTGCTGGAGGAAGGATGCATCGGGGTCACGGAAAGATAAGATCACAGAACTACTTGAGAAAAACGAATACCGGCTGTCTCATAGTCTTGTCACTCTGAGTAAAAAAAAAACTTTCGGCGCAGCCCGACTTAAAGCACGTGTTACAGGCCTTGATGGACCGAAAGTACCAGAAATTCCGGGCTCAGGCTTAGCTAATTCCCGCCGTTTGAACCTTGAAATGGCATGTGTTTCTACCAAAAGGACACAAACCAGCCATCCCTGATCCCAGCCGCCTCTATTACCCTTTGCATACAGAAGCTCAACGGTTCGTTTGCTGATTTGGACGCGCCGAATGCGTCAAATGGTTAGATTTGTTGAATTCCTAGGTCTCTATTTGAACCATAACCTGAAGATGTTTTTCATTTTCGTCATCTGACCTTTAAAGCTGCGCATAAATTTGTAACGGAACATTGGCATGCGCTGTCCTTTTGGACTGCATTTCAATATGTTTTCCGAGCAAAATGTGGTAACGTGTTTTTTGCTCAATACATTATTAACAGCAGCTCCGCTTCAAACAGACAAATCAAGTCAAACTATTCAAAAAGAATTTGATCGTTAATGTTAACCCTTAAGCTTTTCTGGGGTGTACATAGTAAGAGCTTTAGCTGACTGTCCTTGTGATGGTGATGGTTTGGAAGTGAGATGGTTATGGAACTATTTGACCCTCCTCCTCATTGCCTACGTTTTCTGCAATTCTTTGCTCCTCACCCCTCATCGCCTCCTTGAGTCTATATGTCAGGTTCTCATTTCCGTTTTCAGCAAGCAAGATTAATATTCGGAAAATATTATATTGGAAATAATTGGCATTTCAATGTTAACAAAACATTAATGAAGTTATTACATTTGGTGCAGAGGCATGGTTTTCCAAAATAACTGGAAGGGCTGGGCAGCGAAAAATTATGCAATCTTACCTCAACATATGTGGGAAGGGTGGAGGCCAGAACTAGCACCAAGAGCTATGTACACGCCCTGATTTGAAGAACTATTTGCCTTGTAACCATCCTCAATCAGGACCAAAGCAGCAATGACACCAGTAGGCACTTTGGAACTATTCTCACCTGCTGTCATTCCCTTCCCTGAGGAGTGACATCAGCCCCCAGTGTTGAACCCACGGTTCTCTTCAATAGGAAGAGGCTCAGTGCTTGAGACCACTGCTGCCAGTCAACAGCCTTTTCTGTTGCTATTCTGTGTCTGGAAAAGTCAGTCTGAATAATCAGGTCAATTTCTTCCTTGATTTGATCTTCTCGCCAACCTTCCCCGAACTGTCAATCAATCAAGTCACAAGGCCCAAAAATTAAACCTAGATAGGTGTTTATGAAATGTCGATGCCAATGCCGCTTGCGAAGCCCCAGTGCATTGAAAGTCACCACCAGCCTCACATATCTCAGTTGCATCGCAATGATTGAAACATGCCCTGGCTGCCAAAGGAATCGCCATATTTAGATTTGTCAGTACTTCCAACGGTCTAGTTTGGGGTACTGGCAGTCGGCTTGTAAATACAGTGAATCGGGCGACCGGCCGGGCCTTAGAAAATACTCTGAATTGTCACCGACCTGCACCAGAGTGAGCGACCAACTAAAAATCATGGGATTTTGCTGTCGCTGGGCTGGGATGGAGCCTAAGAAAGATAACGTCGGGCCGAAGGGCACGGTAAAGTGTATTTATGGAAATGTTTGTTGGTGTTAGATGAAATGCATTGCCGTTGAAGCCCACGTAAGGTTGTGGAATGTGCGCTGTGATGTTTTGTCGTGGCCATCACCAAAACCGTCGATCAAAAACATTGTTTGCACAAAGCGTCGCGTGAAAATGGAAATGTTCGTCGCCGACCTCATCCACCGAGTCGGCAAGGTTCACCACCACTGATCAATGACCGCAGTGATGTTGGCTGAAACGGTTATGCACTAGCACTTGCTTTTTTAGCACTTGCTCACACCTAGCACTTGCTCACACCTAGCACTTGCTTTTTTAGCACTTGCTCACACCTAGCACTTGCTTTTTCACAATCGGACAATCGGATCACAGCTACACGTCACGTCTTACGTCCGGCCCAACCACTGCTGTGCGCCGAACTATGTGAGGAATAACATAAAGTATTACCGCAAATAAATTCAGGTTCTGTTAGAGCCATCGCTGTTCGCAATGTCATCCGGTTCTCCATCCCAGTCTTCTATCTGTACCGTTAACACATTGAACAGCGTCAAACTTAGCTGCCAATGCGCAGCTTGTACGCAACGAAGATGATCTAAACGCACCGCCAGGAAATCGTTTTTAAAATTGCATGTCTCAGAAAGTTATTACCACGGTCGCTATCGTTCGCGTGTTCGAGCGTTGTGAAGATGGCTACCGGCATGGACCGTGTGCACGCGTCGCGTGACCCAGATATGTACGCGTGCTGGCTTTCCTAAAGCGCATCGATGCGTTTGATAGATAGTACATCATTTACAGGCCTTCTGTGTCCGGCTCAGATGGCTGTACAGCGGGTGTGTAGACATAGTGTCCAGATCGTGTCTGGTTGAAAAACAGGCAAGGCTAGACAAAAAGGATGACAGAGAAAACGTCGGATCTGCCTGGATCACGATCGGGCTGGGGACGGGAGAGAAAGGAGCTGATCTGAGCGTAGAGGAGCGCCTTCGACTAAATCAAGAGGTGGTATCGATAAGTTGGTCGAAACTGAAAAGGAACGAGGCGAAGTCAGTCAACATGTTTGGTGGGAGAGTACAGCATTGTCAGCGAAGCACAGGAAGACTCCCTCGGGTTTTTTCACGCGTGACATAAAAAAACAACTTGCGTAGACACGCGAAACTTTGAGCACAGCTGGAGCGTCTTGGTTACATGCATGGTACGTTTTCATTCCAGATCAGCCTCGGTCACTGATCAGTCGCGGGTCAGAATCCGTCATGATTTAAGAAGCATACTCTGATCCCATCCCATCATCCCAAATATTGGTGTCCAGACTACCTTTTTCACTTAAAAGTATACCAATTGTTACAAGTGAGCTTGTTTCATCGCACCTGATGTTTGCTTCAATACCTTCAAATGTGAAACATTCCCTTTGATTTGTGATTCGGTTGCGCATGATCAAATAAGATAGGTTCCAGGAAATCAGGTAAAGTGTGAAATCACACGCCACCTTGCAAATTGGCTGGAGTCTCGCTAGAGCGCAACGTAGGGCAGAATCATTGGGGATGTGCGCAGTTCTTTGTTAACATCAAAGCATGACATCTAGCGCTGCAGCAGGTGTATGTGCATGGCTGAGCTCACGACGGTCCTTCCTTCAATTATCCTAAGTGCTAAGTAGGTCCAGCGGAAGAAGCACTTGGCGAAAGTAATTCTCGTGGTGATAAACTCCTTATACCGAGGTTGGGATTATTTCAGCTCGCTATTCGAGTGTTATCATCGTCATGCCCGCAGTTGACTGGCATCGAGCCAGCGTCACCTGACCCCGGCCACCTCGCCCGACCCCGCTACAGGTGGGGCTCACGTGATCGACCAGTACAGGTGGCGGTCACATGATCGACCAATACAGATGGGCGTCTCGTAATCTGCTATACAGGCAGGGGTCACGCGCTCGGCTGGTACGGATGGGCATCACGTGATCGGCCAGTACAGGCGGGAGCACTCGATCGGTTATTGGTGTCAGTAGGCGCCCGACTTGTACCCGCATGCGGGCCTCCTGCGGTCTCGCGCCAGCTGGGAAGAGCCGCAGTCGAGCTGGCTTCGGCACATCTGGTGCCACAACAGCACCGGGAACTGCACCACAGACGTCAAGCAGAGTTTGGGGCTGATTTGGGGAGGCCGCTGGCATCCTCAGGCGTGTTTAAACAGAAAACAATACCGATAAGACAGTAATAACAGCCGTATTCCGCGGAGAAAAAGCAGGAGAATACGGGACTTCTGCTACTGTTTCGATAAAAGCGTGTTGCCGAAATATCAGTCCAACTGTATTTCCTTTCTCTTGGTTTTTCTCCGAAGAATTAGGTTACTACTACCGTCTTATCTAAGTGAAAAATGTTCCCCGCTGATGCACTGAACAACTTACGAAAGACCATATCGGCTGCATTGACTTGGAAACTGTCTGGTACGGTCCACATGCTCTTTCCACCCCTTTATTATGCCACTTTGGTTGGCACTGCCCATATGTTCGACTTCAGAGGCTTTGAGTCGCAAAAAATACTCGCAATCCTCTCTACCAGCCGACGCGTTCGGGTAGTGGCTCGCTGAGAACTCAGCTACTCTAAAGCTCGGCATCGTTCTCACAAATCGCGGTTCTAGCAAGTTCGGTTGTGATTGTTCTTCTTCACTCATAATGCAGTATTGCCGGTTTCGTTTCACCTAGTCAGAAAGGTTTGTCATTGGATTTTGTGATTCTGTTTCAGGACGATCACACGATCGTTCGGTCATGGGCCGTGAAGGACTTTGCACCGAACGTGCCCCAATACGTGCAGATCTTTCGGCCGGAGAACAAGGTGCACGTCAAGTTTGCCGAACACGTGGTCTGTGAAGACGAGTTCAAGTACGCATTGCTGGCCAACAACTGCTTGTGTCCGGGTACCTCAACGCTGGTCACCCTCCTGCTGCACACGTCACGAGGACAGTAAGTCGCATGGTCCAGCTCTGTACGCCGCAGTCCGGATCAGGGCGCCGATATTCTGTTTGGTGAGTCACTTCCTTGTTACATAAGTCAAAACACGGATCGAAAGGAATTTTCCAGTCCAGCATGTCACGTACTTTTTAGTAAGCCACGATCCCATTCGGGTGGAAGTCCGGTCCAGCTATTCACACTCCTTCCCAAGCGTGACGCGCTGACACCGGCGTGCCACCTTTGTTGGAAACAGTGCCAAGGTCACCAATGATGAACGTCCGTATGCTCAGAAGTGCATCATACATTCAGGCCCGTACCATTGGACGTGTATGCCGGCCCGTGCCGTGCGTTACTGCTGACAGCATCCACACGTGGTGCGACAGGGAAGGGCAGACGTCAGAAGAGGATTGGCACCGGCTCTATGGAAGATGTTCCGGTAACGAGATCTACCACATACGACTGGGCGATTCGCGCTTCTTCGGCGAGTACGAGGGAAAGAGCTTCACGTACGCCAGCTTCCACACGCACCGGAAGTAAGTGCACAGCGCTTGGCCCGTTGCTGTTTGCACGATTATAGTGTGTTCCATGACGCACACTGCGGTAGATACTTGTGAACATGAGGTGCGATGTCGGATGTAAAGTGCAAAGGAAAAACTGTAAGGATACTCGGTGCGATCGATGTTCCTTCACCTGGAAACGGCAGAACATATATCTTATGTGATATGCATTAGAGAGCGCGTAATGTTGCGCCAGTAATTAGCTGGCAGGTATGGTGTACCATACTGCAGCAACAAGGCGTAACATCCGGTTGTCTCGTGCCTGCGCTTCAGGTACGGGGTGGCGTTGGTTGGTGTTAGACCATCTGAGCTTCCGGAGTTCTACGAGGACACGATTCTCCTCAACCCCGGCCCCAGGCACATCATGAAGAACTCCGGTAAAGTTTTGCCCAGCCGCAGCATCAGAAACTCGGTGGGGAACTCCGGTAGTAGCCTTCCCAATCTCAGCCTCAGGCACATGATGAGAAAACCGGCAGTGGTCCACCGCATCCCCGCCTCAAGCACATAATGGAAAACTCTGCTAAAGTTGTTAAGTGCGTTTGCGAGTAACATTATTCACCTGGATAAAGCAGTAGCAAATGTCTTTTTCCTCGCAGAAAAACCAGGAGAATGGAGATACAGGTGTGTTGATATTTCGGCAACATGCCTTTACGAAACGAATAGCAGAAGAAAATTATAAATTGCCTGCCGATGATCCTACGCAATTTTTCGTTGTTTTTTTTTAACAGCGAGCGACAGTTTTTACAGGACACCATCATTCAGGGGATTAAACAGGGAGTAATTGCGAGCCATTACTACGATAAAGTGCATATCTAAGAAGCAGAATACGCGAAAAATACGTGTGCATGCAATCGAATTCAAGTGAAGGTATCACGCATCACGCTTCATTTAAACATGCACTTGAGTTGAAATAAATAGGCATCATGCATCAAGCATCAATTATACATGCAAGTAGTTTCAATGAAATGGTCATGTATTATTGATACGTAATGTACAAACATCACACGTATCATCACATTACGATTCATGTGTAATGATGCGTGTTATGTGATGTCGCCTACTTCAACTCGCTTGCTTGTTTGAATGAAGCGTGATGCGTGATATCTGTTTACTTAAATTGTTTTGCATTTACACGTATTTTACGCTTATTGCGGTTCTTAGATATATGCACTACATGGTAGTAATGGCTGGCAATTGCTCCCTGTTTAATCTCCTGAATGTTGGTGTCCTGTAAAAACTGTGAGTCGCTGTTTCGAAAAAAAGAATCTGAAAAATCGAATAGAATCGTCGGCGGGCAATTTTGAATTCATTTCTGTTATTCCTTTCGATAAAGGCATGTTGCCAAATTACCAACGCATCTATATCTCCATTCTCTTGGTTTTTCTCCGTGGAATGAAGCTTTTACTACTATCTTAAATCTGGTAAAGGTCTACCCATTAACTCTGGTAAAGGCCCCGGGCTGGGGCATGCGATGAAAAACTCCGGTAGATATCTCCTTGTCCCCTAATACCGTGCTCCCCGGATTTTTCCTGTTTTATAAACACAAATGTGTAAATGGGTATGGAACTGCAACAGCATGAGGCATGCCGAGTGAACCTGTCACTTTGAGAAGACAAAAATACAGTTTCAGTGACAGTCATAATTTGCCATCGTCAGTGGGTCTTCAGGACACACTCTGCTATTGAGGCTATGTGTTGAGCGCGGCTTTTTTTAGTCGCCTGCTTCTCACCCTGGCAGAGAGGCGACACCACGAGGTCGTAGTTCTCCCCTCCTTGTTCCTAAGTGTTGACATTGGCATGAATCTGGATGTTACCCATTAATAGAAACGGACCAAGTCAGGGACAATGTTGAACTGATTAAGTGCCAAGCTGCCCGCTGATACAGAAGAGCTAATGCTCATATAAATCTTAGATATTTCAGTCCAAATTGATGATGATACTGCAACAAATGCTCCATTAAGGGGCAGTACAAAAGAAAGAAACCAGCGGAATAAGCGCGAGCAATGCGCGTTACAGATAAATACGCAACCAGACAGACCAAAATCTGACGAAAGCTTGTGTTCCTCGCTAATCACCAGAAATGAGCCGTACATATGTCTGAGGCACTCATATTCTGTGACAGCTGCGGTCGGTGAAGCGTATCTGGCGCCTTCGCCACGAGGCAAACGGTATAGTGCCCTCAGTAGCCCGCAGGTCCCCACTTTTCCTTACACTGTTGCTGCATAACTCTGTCAGATTGTGTGCTCGATATGTCCGCCAAAGCAAAAACATATATCCGACGGAAACCAGTGATGAAGGAAAGCAGCTTAACTTCTGCGCCTTTGGGAAACCAGAGGTGCGGGGTTCGGTTCCCCGCGGCGCCCGCCCTTCCTGCCAGGGTGAGAGGCAGGCGACGCCATATATCCTCAGCAGCTGAGTGCGTCGTGAACTCCCAACCGCAGCGGTGTTGACGTGAAGCTACGGCAAACAAAACAGAACGCGCCTCGGCTCCCTACCCGGAAACCGTTGAATGACGTCAGCTTGAGATTGTCATGGATCGAAATGTATTGCTTGCACATTTTCTACCGGAATTACCACATTCGCAGTTTGATGCGAATCCTGATGAGCATCCTACTCCAAAGACCATTTGCTAAAGCTGAAGATATATTCGCAGTGCCATCAATATGCGTTGGAATATTTCCAATATGCCGATGGAAGACCATTAGGAGAAATGTATTCTACTCTTTTATGCAAACCAAAGTTCCTACAATCGTACATGCATAGCTGAACTTCGATATTGACTAGAGTTGTCTGGTTAACATGAGGCAGGCTTACCACCACGTTTGTCCCAGCGAAGCTTCAACGCTACGCTAGCGTAAAATGGGCGTCCTAATGTAAGCGCATCTTAAATAAGCCTCACCCAACCTTACAATTCCCACCATTAGTTTCCTCCCGGTTGAAATGTGTCCCAGATCGCTGTAACCGTATCGGAAATAAGGTTCCGCTTGGTGCCGGCCGTTCTCCAGCTGCAGCCAAACAACGGCCCCGCAATTCCTACCGGAGCGTTTCCAGCCGCTCCGCCGGTTGCGGCCCGGCGTTCATCGTTTTTATCGTGTTCGTTCGGGGTTTCCAGCGCTGTAAAATCAATGTCGGCCAGGCCGACCAATGTGCGCCTTCGTTTACAGACATATGCTTTTACATGAGCATTACAAAGGAAGAGAACAGCGCGTTCGTGGCCGGCGACGCTTTCCCTGAAGCTCCGCTCTGCGTGCCGGACAAACCTATCATCAGCGACGAGGCCAAACAACCCGACCCCCGGCCAGAGCACACGACAGGTGCGCAGCACGCCGCCCTCCGCCCGCGCCACAGTTGTCTGTACTGCCGAAGGGCTGTGGTGTGTGCTGCTTCTTTCTTAGGCGCTGAGTTTGGCTTCTTCAATGAACATTGTGTGAGAAATAGTCCTCGTAGTGCTCTAACTGTATATACCTGTCGTCGAAAGCGTCATTTGCGGGTGTTTTGATTTTTATTTATGCCAGCGCCTTATCAGAGATGAGACTGCAGTTCATGCTAGTCTAACCTGGACTATGAGATGATTTTGAACTTGGGCGTTCCGGTCGGACCCGGCCTGATTGTCACAACCCGTCTCGATCGTCACGACCCAGCCCAACCCGACCTGGCTTGGTCGTCACTCTCCTAAAAAGCCAAAATTTTGCGACCACTGACCAAATACCCATACGGTTTTTAGCAAACACTCAGACCCCAATTTATCAAAAGTTGAAGCTCATCGATAACAATCACATTTCATGCACAGATAATGGTTATAGTTATCGACCGAAAGGCTGATAATGCTACCTTTGTCAGAGCCAATCCCGAATATAGAACGTGGTGGCCTAAACCAAAAGAGATTGATCGATGTGATATACTTAGGCGTGTGATCGTGTTCGTTCTGACCAATTAGCACCCAGCATATCAGCATTTTTTGTTTTTTTTGTCTTGTTTTGCTATCCAATGGTTGCGGATGTCAAGGCCGCAAAACTGTTCAAATTAATGGGCCTCAACTACTAAAGTTACCGAATCTGACCAAATTTGTAGGCTGCCAGTTTTCAAACACGGTTGTTTGTGAGCTAATGAGCGCCAATATTGTACCACTTGAATTATCTCCATCCCATCCAACCCGCCAAATTATCATACAATCCGAGCTTTCCAAAGCGTTGATCAGATCAGTTGGCTTATGTTGACTGGCTTAGCGTCATTCCTTAATACATAAGCTTTTTACATTTTCTGCTGAACAAAACTCATCTCCCATGTTTGCCATCGCATGGCTTGTCCACGCCGAAAAAGCGCCTCACTGTCCTTTATCTTCTGCGAAGCACCTGCCGTCGGAGAAACCCATAAAAACTGTCGTAGCTCTGGTGCCAAATGAATTCTACGACACATTTGTCACCGTGTGCTGAGCTCCCAGCGCACAGACTTCCCTTCCAAGGCAAGAAAGCCATACAGCAGGCCCCATCCGTGGTGCTAAAGCTGCGGTGGATTAGCGCGCGCGAAACCCTGCCACTGCGCGGCGTCGGTCCGTCGCGTGCGCGCCCTGACACAGCCAACCCGGCCGTCAGTGGACATGGCACCTGAGAAGCGCAAGGCGCGGGAGCACCCTGTACACGAGCTACAGCGCGGTATGAGCAGCGACAGCAGAGGCAGCGCGCCCAGCATGAGCTCCAATCACCTGGACGTGCCGCGCGGTGAGCCGGCGGAGACGCCCGGCGCCACGCTCCGACCAGGTCAGTGGCGGCGCCCTTCCCCTCCCCTCGCCCCCTCCCCCCCCCGCCAACCGGCTGCGTGTAGCCGACGGCTATTTTCACGCGGAGCCACTGGGCCTCGCGTGCTGCAGTGCGCCCGTTTCGACTATAGATAGGGTATGGCGTAGTGCGCATGCGCGGCACCCTTCCTGGCGCGGATTGATTGTCTAATGCTCCCTGTCATTTCGTCTCCAGATGTCCGGCGTCCGAGCTCAATAACCCTCAACTCGTTTCGAGAATCGCACAATTTTAGTAAGTGGATGTCTGTGTCATGCACTGTCGCTCGCAGACGGTTCGTGCTGTCCAGCGCTGTTAGAGCTGTTGTTGACGTCATGCGGCGTTTGAGGGATAATGCGGCAATTTTGGACCAAACAGTTTGGGCTTTTAGGGCTAAAGTTTTAGCAGTTTTAACCCTAACAGATACTTTGAAATTTTTGTCGAAGAAAATCGATCATGATAGGACAGAAAATGCAGGTTTCTGTAACAGAATGTAACACAAACTGTTCGGTTTGACTTATGTGGATGGTACCAGCGGTTGTTTCTATCCAGGTCAAGTAAAGCGCTTTGTAATGGGTTGATTGCAGGACATCGCCATATGCCGTCCGATTTTAGGCTGTTTCGCTTCAGAATAAAATGCGGCTTTTCTTAAACTCAAGAGGTTCCCATCATCTGCATCATCAGGGACATAAACATTATCCGCTAGTTTTTTCCACACAATGTCCACAGGTTTCACCTCGTTATCCATAAATCATCTGGGCTGGGTACCTCCAAAGATATACAGTTTCACTTGCAGTCAATTTTCGAGAAAAGGCATCAAGGAGACTTTTCCTGACGCTGGCATTAGTGTCGAGGCTTTGGTATCATTAGCTAGTTTTGTTTGACGATCGTCTGTGCGACGGCTCATCCTGATCAATTTAGCAAGCAAGACATGTGCCAGATGATGATGATATGTGCCGGCAAACAGCGTGTGTACCGGTCATACCATGGGTTTTCACGAAGACACGGTGTGCAGCACACACAGGTGAACACCAGTGTTCCGACAAAGCGGGGCTCAATCGGAGCAGCCAGGGATATTTGTACAGTCCGTGTTGAAGTCGTTTTTGCAGCATATTTCAGCTGGTTAAATAGCCTGCCGATTCTCATCAGTAATCACTGAGCATGACAACAATTTCACTACAGAGACCATGTAAACCATGCCATGATTTCATCTCTTTACACCCTTTACTTAACCTATTGGCTTAACCTATTCGGTGGGATAATGCACGGCTACGCTGGCGATGCCTTTTGCCACTGTGGAAGTGCACGCGTCGTCCAAATCTTATTTGGTACAGAAGTGAGATGAGATATATGAGGGAGCAACTCACCGGAACATGAAATGGTTTTTGAAGCCGAGACGCCCGAAACCACAAATGATCAGCATTATAACATGGAGAACATGCACGGGCGTGCAGTGTGACGGCTGTTTCGCATGCAGACCCCATGACATGATAGCTTGCAGCCAGAATGGCAGGTCGGCGACATGGTCGGATAAACATAGTATATTACAGAAGAATAATGTTTTCTCCGGTAAGAGAAATTAGAATAACCCTTCCGTGCCCATTTTGCCGCGTGCAACTGGTGCCCCCCCCCCCCCCCCACAACGCACAAACATCCGCCCCGGTTGGTTACGACACACCATCTCACCTCCGCCCCCCTCCCCCTTCTCAATTACAGTGCCAGCACTTCCTACACTTTCATCCATCCCCTGCGTGCTTGCAGGCCGTGTGCGGGCGTCCACGCAGAGTTAGCAGAGTTCTGGCCAGTAACCAGCGAGCTGGCGCGCGCCGTCCCCGCCCCTCTCGCCACGCTGGCTGGGACACGCTAGCGCAGCCCTGGCAGCCGGCGCTGCCCGGCGTTAATGACTGTCGGCCGCTAGCGCCGCCCCTGGGCCCGATATTGGATCCCCCGGTATCCGTGACACGGGGGCTCAGATGGCTCTCAAATCAGCGACGTCGCTGAAATACTTTTATTAAAACCCGGCGGCACGTCACGCCCTCCAAACGCTGCGTTCTTCAAACTGTGCGCCATGCGGAATACGTGGTGCGATGTTTATTGGAGGTTTGCACATCGTCCAATACGATGCTTGCTTCTCCATACTTGAACGCTGGAATTGATTTGCACAATGCACATTGTTTGTTTGGATTTGTCACGGTTACGCAAGAGGCGTCGCATTCCATGCATAGACGAATTGAAAATTAGCTCGACAGATATCCGGGCAGTCAAATACGGTAAATGAGATTGCGCCCTTAGAAATACATAAGTTATAAAGTTTTGCTATTCTCTAGTTTCTTCGAGCAGTCACGGGAAACTGATGACATGGTTATTACATGACAAACACAGCATAACATGGTGCATGGTGACTCATGGTGACATGGTGACACACTCACACGCATGCCTCTGGAACAGTCACGCAAAAGTAGGTGGGAGCTGACTGCCATCTGCACCAATGAATGTGTTGCAACAGACCGGCAAATCCCTGCCAGACCTTGCTTTTCTGGACGTGACTAGCATCCCTCATGATGTACGAGCTGGCGAATGAGCCAATGATATAGCTCATTCGCATTTGGGGACACGGCAATGAAGAAACCAGCAACCGTTCGCACCTCAGTGCAGTGCACATTGGCATGAATGTATCTGGATTGTCATCCGTTCAAGCGCGGCATGTGCTGCTTCTTGAGACCAGGCTCCAACGACTGTTGGTCATGCACGACGTCAGCTCCTCTCACAAGTTACAATATTGCCGTCAGCGGTGAACCCGTAGACCCCTGGTAACGTCACTTATCCTACGTGACGTGACGCCCTTGCAATATTCCGCGCCCTTGACGCGACGTGATCAACCCAGCGCCGCCCTCAGTCACATCCAAACCGCAAACGTGGTCGCAAAGCGATGTGAACCCTGCTGCGCTATCGGCCTTGCGAGACGCAGGCTGACCTCCCCGACCCCGCCTGATCCAGGCTGACCTCTTCGACCCCGCCCGATCCAGGCTGACCTCCCCGACCCCGCCTGATCCAGGCTGACCTCTCCGACCCCGCCTGATCCAGGCTGACCACTCTGACCTAGTGCTACCGTGTCAAACCGGTGTGATCCGGTTTGACCACTTTGACCCGGTGTGACCTGGCGTTGCCTATCCGACCCGGCGTGACCTGGTGTGACCTCTCCAACCCAGCGTGACCTGTTGTGACCCCTCTATCCCGGCGTGACCTGGCGTAGCCCTTTTGACTCAGCTTGACCCGGCAGGCTCGCGGCGGCCGAGCATCCTGCCCGTGCCGGACCAGTTCACGTCGTCGACGCTGAACGTCAGCAGCAGCCGCGACAGCAGCGACGAGCGCAGCGAATCGGAGGACGAGCTCGACAACGTGCCCTGGCGGCCGCCCAGCGAGAAGATCGCGTCAGTATCTGGAGTACACACGCCGCGGGCATGGCTGCACGTCGGGCAGGCACGCGCCCGGCAGTAACGCGGCCTCACCGGCGAGGGATTACGCGACACGGTTTTCGAGATGGGAATCAGCGCCAAGTTTATAAGGCGATATAGGACATTTAGAAAAAATTATGCGGTGTGGCATAGGGTAGTGTTTTGTGGACTTAAAATGCGGCTCCTTCATATAAAAGTTGCCGGTACACGATCTGAATGCTCAGAACATTTACAAGTGACTCTCGTTCCTAATGTTCCGCTAACGAGTCAAAAGCTGGTCGGCAAAGCTGCGGGCGCGCAGAGCAATGACCTGAGCTGGGCCGGCGTGCCCGGAGCGGCACAGTTACCTGCCCCGTGTGTACGCCGCCTTGCGGTCCATACGCGTCGGCCGCCACACGTGCTGTGCGAGGCGCGCTCGGCAAGCCAATCGCATTAGGCTGGCCGGAAAGGATGGGGTCCGTAGACAAAGTGGATGCCTCGGGGCTACTTATGGCCTGTTGTAGGATGTTTTTGTGTCTATTACTTCTCTGTTTGGATCTGGTTTCACTTATACCTGTATTTTGCTGGCTTTGTCCATGCGCAGAAACGCTTCCAGGGACTTGAGTGTACTGAAATACAAAGATTACCCTTCCGTCAATAACTGCGCGGCTGTCGTCTGAAAGCGCCAAAGTGTATATATATATATATATATATATATATATATATATGTGTGTGTGTGTGTGTGTGTGTGTGTGTGTGTGTGTGTGTGTGTGTGTGTGTGTGTGTGTGTGTGTGTGTGTGTGTGTGTGTGTGTGTGTGTGTGTGTGTGTGTGTGTGTGTGTGTGTGTGTGTGTATGTGTGTCTGTGTGTGTGCGTGTGTGTCTGTGATGCATGACTCGTGTTGGAGACCCAATTCTGTCCTTCAGCTCATCAAAGTCAGAACAGTCAGAGTTAGTGCACATGCTTATGCTGTTTTCATACTGCGTGAAAAGCCAATTGTGTATGTCTAAAGCAAAAGCTTCCTTGTTTCTTGTCCTCTGCCCTTCGCCTGACATCAGTGTGATTTTCGTGCCACTGTCAAGCACAAAAACTTCCCCCCTCCCCCTCCCCCCCCCTCCCCCGGACCGAGCGTCCTCATCAGTCGTGGCCGGGCACTGCTGGCAGGATCGTGAAAGGTTTCCCGCCGGTGACGCCGTACATCGGGGTCAGCCCCACACTCTGCTACCTGCTGAAGGAGAAAAAGCCGCTCTGCTGCCTCCAGCTCGCCCAGGTCAGTCGGTGGGCTCGCTGACGGTGCCTAGTGTTGGCGCGTTACTTTCAGGGGCGTTCCACCACCCGCAGAAGCCCGCGGGGTAAAACATCACCGACTGTAACTGGGAGCACAATTGATGGATCGGATAAATTAAGACGGTAATCGATAGTTCTGGTCAATATGACCTAAAAATCGTCGAGTCGTCATTCGTCACACCACGAATCGCGCAAAATACGGCAACAAAGAAAACATTTTCAAGCATCGTATGTTAGGCAGAGATCGCTTTTCAAGTCTTCACTAATGAAGTCGTAGTGCGTTGATCCGACTTGACTTTTCACTTTTTTCTTAGAAGTGCCAAATTGATCACTGCTCATGCGGGGAAAATCCGGTGGAGATACCGGGAACGGTTATTATTAACAAAGGTTTTGGTGCGATCAATGCGCTCCGCACTGGCGGCGCGGGTTAATAGACCTGTGATAACTTAATATCGGCTAATCAAATAGTCGCCGCTCGTCTGTTCATCTGGCATCGGAGATATATCTCTCTCTAGAATATGCAGTGCATGTGACCCCTGCGACTGATGCTGCATTGTCTCGCAGCGGGAAGGGTACGCTGGGGTATTTTGAGACAAGTGAGCCTGCTCCGGCCATCTGGGAAACTGGCGCTGATAACAAATATTTTAAATGCGTTTTGGATCCCTGGTCTGTTGAGTCAGTTTAGTGTGGTTTTTAAGCGTTTTTCTGGCCTAGGAAGGCGGAGAGAACGAGTATATCATTTTTCTGCCTCTTAAATATCATCTGTAACCTGATGCATTAACAAACTATGAAGTTATGTGCATTTGGCTGCACAAATGGTTCACGTCTGAAGTGGAGCGATGGACATAACATTCCATGTAATTTCTATCGTGATCTCCTATCCAAAGCTTATCTCCAGATGTCATGTATACGTGCTGCAAAGTTGTATTTGAAGTATTCCCAAGGCTGCAAACCATAAAATGGTTAATAGCCGTTTTCACGGAGGATTGCGGTGCTAAACTTTGACAAATTCTTTCAGTCAGTTTTTCATGTTCCTGAACGACAGAAATTTTTGGCGATTTTCGATCAGAAATATTTTCCAGAGATTAAAAAAACATGTTTGTAAGAGCAAACATATTGACAAAACCGTTATGTGTTGGCTATAAGCAAGGTAAAGCCCGTACTATCAATTATGATGTATATGATATCTTCCTACCACACACTTTTGGGAGCATTTTGGAAAGATTCAGCGGTATGTCTGACACAGATGCGACAGGGTAAGGAAATTTTGATAATTGCGCTCTATAGAGCCCCAGCTTCCTACTCTCGCCCTGCTCTGTCGTTTTTCGTTGCGCGGACTGATAGGGGTAGGTCGGTGCGATCCCTGCCCTGCCGTTTCGAAAGTGAGGGAGGCAGCACCTCGCAGGGAATAACCGTGACATTGTTTTGAAAGAGATTTTGCAATTGGTGAAAAGTTCGTTATTGCCAAGTCAGTAATTAACCCCACTAGGCGAGGTCGAAGTCAAAGTTTCCTGAAAATCGTACTTTCATGCCCATAGCAACACTTCGCTTAAACAGGCGTGCACGCTGTTAAATTCTGAGTACAACTGTATTTCGTGTTATGGGCGCTAACCGTATTTTTATGATGCAAGTCTCCGCTAATGAAACAGTGTTAGCCCAGCACGCGGTCCGCGGAGTCGTCGGCTGCCGCCCACTGCCCGCACCACGGCCGTGGATCGCCATAGTGTTTTAAAAGAATATTACTTTTCAGAAATCAAAAACGCTAGACGCACGTCTTGTGTGTCGAAACACGTAAGTTCGAGGATGCCCCAAAGAATACTGAAAATTGTGGCGTTATTGTACGGCATGCTTGAAAGCTATCCTTAGAAAAACTACGAGTGGTTGATGCGACTCGCTCACCCATTATGGTGGGAGTCAAAGGAGCTATGTATGCGGGGCCGTGTAAAACAGTATAAGAAACGAGCATCGACTTGCTCTACAAGTGATTGCGTCACCCCAGAAGGAGGAAACGAGGATGACGAGAACACGCTCTAGTTATTATCGGTTGCAGATAATTCTGTCTCTAGTTAATGTGTGCGCCCAAATAATCCGAATCATTAGTCTTAGAAGCTCCCGGGCCCTATTCTTGGGTATCTTGAGCGTGCGATGGTCATCGATCCCGGGCCAGAAGTCGAACCGTACGTCAGGCCGAAGTCTAGATACTGCTCCCTGTGGCTCTGGGTTAGATGGAGCTGGTGGAGCCCCACCACTTACACCAAAGTGGGTCTGCGGGCCTGAGCTGGGGCGCGCACCGCTCGTGACTAGGCTGATGAACCTCGCGGATAAATTGCCTCATTGTAGCGCAGAACAAGTGGCAACACGAACGTGATATCTATTTTGTCTATGCGTTGCGGTACAGTTGCAGATTGTTCGATTTTGTGAATAGTAAAACTGGCGCGGACATTTATGTCCGCAGCTCGATTTTTGCTATTATGTGGAACGTCCGGCTATTATTTTGGGTCATCGCAAGGTGGTTGTTTTAATAATGGCGTTTGGTGTTTCACTAGACAGCTTAGACTGCGATGACACTTAAACACTGACCTATGTTAAGGAAGCAACGGCAACTTTGTAGCTCTGTTCTTACCCCTATTCCCATGCGGAAGTCGACTGGTCGCCGTTGGGTTTGCTCCACATAATCACCGAGTCGATCCAGGTAGAGCACTGAAATGCTGTCTCTTACCTACTCTCAGCTTCATAGAGACTGACAGGATTTTGTCATCAAGTATTACCCAGAGGCGGCCCTAGGTTTGACCCGTGGCAGACTGTGTTTAACAAGTCGCTGTCCTTCAGAAGCATGCGTTGCCAGATGGCTTGCCCTCACTGAACGCGGAAGCATTCCTTGAGTTCGAGTGTCCAGATCACTAAAATATGCCGTGGAAAACCGTTTGCCGTAGCTATGGAAATATTTTCGACGCCCGTGGCGGATATGGATGTATGGATATAGGCGGATGTGGATGATGTGCCAAGGCTAGCGTAATGATGACTCGATGGTGCCTCAGCCAGCTCGATTATTGGTAACAAGGCAGTTAAGAGAGTATGTCCGTAATAGCCTTATTTCTCGCAGAAAAGCCAGGATAATTAAGATATAGATTTGTTGTTTGATGTGGATTATGTTTGGTACAGTTATTATGTTTAAGATTATAATGTTTGATGTAACGCATCTATATCTCCATTCTCCTGGTTTTTCTCTGAGGAATAAGGCTATTACTACCGTCTTCTCTGTGTGCATAATGCTCCTTGCAAATGCACTTAAAAAATTACCTAACGAAGTAGCCATGGCATTCCAGCATAGCTCACGCATAAGCATTCCAGCGCTGTATGAGAACGGGTCTCTGACACCAGAGTCGTACATCCTGCATCGGTTGCCGATTTTCAGTACCATCGGATTCAGCTAAATGGTTCGCGATGCGGTAAAGAGGGCCAAACGGCATCATCTACATCGTAGCGTTCTAACCAACATCCCGGTTTTTTCTATCTTCCATTTGAAAGTTATTGCATTCGTCGTTGGCCCAGAAACAGCTCGCGTTGTGTTTGAAAGAGCTCCCTTCGTGCACTTGATTGTTACGACATTTAAATAAAGAGATGGGCTCATGATTGACCATCGGTCCATGGGCGTAAAACACTGCGTTAATGTTTTACCTCGTCTTTTCCTTTTGATTGTGTCCCCGACGTTTTAAGAGTCTCTTACGGACAAAAGCGTTTAACAAACGCTAAGTCTCTTTTTGTCAACTGTCAAAGCTAGTGCAATATATATAAACGTCTGAGAAAGCCGGAGTGTCGTGCACGGATTTTAGAGAAATTCATTGCATGATGACATGATTAAGAATACCGCTTCTCGTTTCACAGTCCACACTCCGAATGTGTTGTAGTGCTGCACACGTGCAGCAACACCAGTCTTGTGATTTACCTAAATAGTTTGAAGAATTAAAGAGCATTATGGCCAAAAATATGAGACAGTATTATTGATGTGGGTGCGTGTTGGGGGAAGGGGTAGTTTACCACTCAGGAGACCCACTGTTACGTTTACAGGAGCTTCTGTAAGGAACGGGCACTTATGACCACATTTCATAACCGAACGCTCATCCTCGAACTTTGAATGCAAAGCAAAATGGGCCAAGGAACTTTGTACGACAAATATTCGAGTGAGAGGAAAGTTAACCAAGCGGAAATTCCCATTTACTTCACATCTGCGGCCATTGTAGCCAAATTTGCATAGTTTGTGAAGCTGCGGCTTCCTGAACGCATCTATTTCTATTCCAGTCTACGCGGGTCGCCGACTTGTGTTGTTCTGTGCTAACAGCAAAACGAAGTAGCCGCCTGAATATGTCACCACCTTTACATTAACACCTACTGTGGCTTGTATAAAAACATGTAGCTGAATCTCGCGTGAGGTGTTCAGAAGGCTTTGTTACGGCTCGTAAGCAACAAACGACCACAGCATTAGGTGTACTCGGCATTTGTACTCGGTATTTAGCTGAGAAAAACGATGCCAGTGGTGAGCCAATTATGCGTTCCGCATGGGCTTGTGATGTGTTCTCCCGTCTTGTGGGGATCTTCTCAGCTGTGATGTGTTCTCCCGTCTTGTGTGTGATGCGATGTGTGATGTGATCTGTGATGTGTTCTCCCGTCTTGTGCTGTACGTTATGCCGTAGGTTATGCCGTATGCTTCGTAACAAACTGCGGCTAGTGGCAGGCAGATTTTGCCGTGCACTATGGATCCTCTTGTTACGCGACATCATCGGACCAGAGTGCAGTAGTAAGTTCATGTAAGTGGAGCTAGGAATCTATTAATTCATTTAGACCCACTTCATCTCAACCGGGTCATTCGAAGGCACTGTTGGACACTTTTGGAGGACGCTAGTTTCCATGCAATCCTTATAATATGCCGGTCTGTTTTACATGTAGGAAGTATGTCAGTTCTGTGGCCTTCCACGGCGATGCCACAGGTCACATGTGAGCTCTATAAGATGTATGATGTAGGTCTACAGACTGTATTACATCACACCATGAGCCAGGCGGCAATTTGACCTTGTGGCCCAACGTGACCTTTATTTATATTAAGGTGATGAGAGCTAGAAAACACATGTTGGTAGCTTACTTAATACATTTAAACGTTCATTACTTACAACTCTCAAATCCGCTGCTTCATAGCAAACAGGTTTTTTTGTCAGCACCGGTGGATTTTAAAAAAGGCATTTCACAAAGCAGCAGCAACAGCGACCCCTAGCTCAACAACAACAATGGGTCGTATGTGGGAATATGCCCCAGCGACTGCCGGTTCAAGATACATTGACAAGACACACATCCATAGCACACATCCCCGTCCCACCAAGTCAGCACCTGCTCAGCGATCAGCCAGGTCCGAGCCTGACGATAAATCGGTAATTGGCCGACACATCCTTATTCCCGCTGTTTTCCTGAAACTTATCTTAGGCTCAATGTCTCAACAAGGCTTGGTGACTTGTCTCCAAAACATTGGTTTTCCTATGACGCTTGGGACGCAATCTCCGACCACTTACCTCTGTCATGGTAGGCTGCATCGCAGAGCTGTGCACGCATACGGAACAGTCTAGCCATGCAGTAGTGTGTGTTTCTTGGGCACTAGCTTTCGCGTTGGCGATAAAATGGGCAGCGATGGCACTTGGCAATTGCTTATTGTCAGCCAAGGTAGTGCATCTGTATAACCTGTCAGATTTCTGGGGTGCTGCAGAACGGCACTGCGTATGTCACCTATTCCGCTTGTCCTGAGAACACCTTTGCTACGCAGCCAGTGGCATGGGGCTGCCTGATGCGAGTAACTTGTGCTCTGTCAATCAGTTTTATGCGCACTTCTGTCCGAAGGTGAAGTAAGCCTATGACCTGAAGTATTTATGAGAAAACCTCTATCAGCGCATCTACAGGCTGGCCTCTTCTTAGACCAGGCCGTGCTGAGATGTGTATATTTAACCACATAACGTGTATGTGTGTGTGTGTGTGTGTGTGTGTGTGTGTGTGTGTGTGTGTGTGTGTGTGTGTGTGTGTGTGTGTGCGTGATTTGTACTTGCAAGTTTGTATGCGATATGAATAAGTTATGACGGGAAACGAGCCCGTTGACTTCCATGTGTTTTAATTATGATGGCGACTGAGATTTGATAACCAACGAACTTTATACGAAAAGCTATTGATCTAGATATGACGCGCATGTGAGTGTGTCTGCTGAGACGAACTCATCATCTTATGAGCTTAACTCGAAAGGACCGCCTTCAGGGCAGTGGGTGTATAACGTTGTTTGTTCATAATGTATTGTCAGATAGCCTATGAAATGTTGCGCATGGTTTGTCCCACCCTGATGACCGCCTGCATGTTGTGCCGCTGGAATAGGCGTCGTGAGCCGGATTAAGGGCTCACCGCCTGCACCTTCGGCTGAACTCTTTCCTCGCTGCCGATCCCAATCGGAGGCGTGCTTCTGACCCCAGTGTCCCCGCCTGTTGCCAGGTCTGCGAGCACTGCTCGTACCGCTCGGCCAAGGAGTACAGCTGGCAGAACAAGGCGGTCATCCTGGCGGCTGACTTTGCGTCCAACGGCATCTACAACTTCATCATTCCGCTGCGTGCCCACTTCAGGCCCAAGTCGTCGCTGAACCCCATCATTCTGCTGCTGGAGCGGCGGCCTGACCTGCCCTTCCTGGACGCCATCAGCTACTTCCCCCTGGTCTACTGGATGCTCGGCTCCATCGACTCGTGAGTGCGCGGATGCGGCCGGCTGGTCGGGGGGTGGGAGGTGGGGGGCAGGTCAGCGACGCGCTGGACCGGACGGCACGAATGCTATTGCCTGGGGAGGGGGGGGGGGGGGGCGATCTTGAGGCGGCAGTGTACAACTGCGCCACGTCCATGCGCTGCTTGGGCACCAGATTATTGTTGGTTCTTCGTGGATGGGGTACCGTTCTACATAAGCCTGTTAACAGCCTAAAAAGAAAGAAAAGGGGGACGAAGGCGTGTGAGAAAAGCACAAGAATGAAGGAGGAGGAGGAGTGTGGGTGAAAGATCAGAAAGCGATATGATGAGTGGGGGGCGGGCCAGGCAGTGACTAGGCAGCGCCACAGCTAATTCCTTCGCTCAGCGAAATTACAGGATGCCATCAACAGCTCTCCACCTGCCCACTACATATTGCGCACCAGTGGAGCAGATGAAAAGCCCGGCACGTCACCGTTTCACAGGGGCCCGTCTCCACCCCCGGAGATTGTCCTGGTCACAGACGGCTTGGTCCCGGGAGGTCCCGTGTATCGCCGAGCAATAAGAGGTGTGGCGCGACGTCTGACGCCGTTCGGGGCCGTTTGTCATCCGACTTGTTACGTTTGATCAGTCGCAGCAAGCCCGATTGGAGCCCGCTGCCGCCGTCCTCGGCACGGGGTCGTCTCCTTCGCAGCGGTGCGCGTCGAGCCATGCTGTCATGTCCGGGGGATGAGCTGCGTCTGGCTGACCTGCCGATAGAGCTCGGCCGACCTCCCCTCCCCCTTAGCAAGGGCACGAGGGTGCGCTAGGCGCGTTTGGCGCAGAGCCGGTTGCGCCTACCCTCCCCCACCGCCCGTGTGACGCGGAGAGGGGGAGGGGTGCCGCCGCTGCCGCCGCCGCCGTTGCCGGTCACTCCAAGTTAGCGGCCGCGCGCAGGCGGCTGATTGCGAAGGCAGGTAATGGCAGCGTCAGCGATGGCCGGCTTCGCCTGGCGCGATCGATAACGGCGATGCCCGGCAGCGAGCACAGGGAGGCACTGATCCGACGCCAAGGCCTTCTCTGAGCTGGCCGGGCAGCCTGGATTGCGCCCATCCGCCGGCGGAGCGCTCTCAGCGCCGCCGGCTGCAGCGATCAGACGCTAGAGTGGCCACCGGCTCTGGGCGGCAGATGGGCGCCGGCAACGCGATGATGAGCCCCAATTTTTGATCCGGAGGATTTCTGCGGGTCCAAAGTTGAGGACTGAGCGGCGATGTGGCGAAGTAACGCGTCACTGTAGCGCTAGATTGTGCGCTGGAATGTGCTGTAACGGTGCGGGATTTATGACAGTTATTATTCAGAACGTTTCAATTTATCCAGTCATGATCTTGACGCAACGCCTACCATATTTTGACCGTCAGCCATTAAAATGCAATCGCTTTGCACACTGACAGGTGGAAGTTTATTGAAGAAGATTCGCCGGTGAAGGATTAATATTCAACGGCGAGCGTGTCGATGCCGGTGCCCTCCCTGCCTTCTCCCCTCCAGCTGCGACGCGTGAGAGCACTGGGTCATCTTTCAGACACCTACAGCGGTCATTGATCCCGCCGTCTCTCCGACAGCCTGGACGACCTGTGCCGGGCCGGTATCAACCTGGCCGAGAATGTGGTGGTGGTTAACAAGGAACAGAACAACTCGATCGAGGAGGACTCGCTCGCCGACTCCAACACCATCGTGGCCGTGCAGACCATGTTCAAGTAAGCGGAGTCGCGACCTCACTGACCCTATCCGACCGTGGGCCCCCAGTTGCGGGGCAGGCGGGTCCGGGCACCGATTCGCGGTCGGGCGGGGCTCGAACTCGGCCACGGACGGCGGTGTCGCATGGGAGTCAGCCTCGCGCACCGACTCTGAGTCGCTCGACGGTTGATGCGTAATCGGGGTTTGCGTATCCGTGGGTGAATGCGCGTTTTTACCTGGGGATGGAGACTATTTTGAGCTTTTGATGAAGAATGCTCGTATTTTATCATATTCGGGCACAGGATCTTATAACTCACATCTTAAAGCCGTAGGAAGCATTCCATCAGGCGTTAAAAGCGGGCGCTTGCTTTGTTTCGCCGCAACGTTGCGCCCACTCACTGGGAGTGGTTGGAGAAAAGCGTCGCTGTTATTCGAGACGGCAACATCACGCGACCTGAGTCGTGAGCGCCATCAACCTGCCAACTGGCGCCGCCCAAACAGGGCACGGCGTGGTGGATGGCGGCGAATCTTGTCCCGGCGCGGCCGGGTTGGCGCGCCCCTGCGGACCGATCGCTCGCGCGCCGCCCGCGCCGCCCGCGCCGCCGGCACTGACGACAACAGCCGTCCGCGATGAATAGCGCGTAGGGCGGCCTGCCGAGCGGGGCGGGCTGGTGGCTTCTGAGCGCTGAACTGATTTTGGAATGGTACTGTGGCGTCACGGTGCGCAGTTCACGAATGTTGGTGGTGATGTGCGGTCTGACTGGAAAGCTTGAGCTTTTGCTTTTCCAGCGTTTTAATAAAATGTGATGGCCAGGGCTGAGTAATAAGAAAACGGTCAATGCAAATTGAAGGAACTAACAGACCACGGGTCTTTGACTCGATATCACCGATCTGTACTCGTGCCATGTGTCCTCAAAGCTGTGAAACGTGATCGTAGGCGTCCATCTGAGAAAGATGTGTTATTTGTTGTGATTGGCGAATTATGAATAAGATCAATAATTCACAATATCAATCATTGTCACACTGTACGGTTAGATTTCAGCGAAAGGTTTGCTATGAGTAGTAATATCAACAACATAACATAGTTGCCTCCTTTTCCGTCCATAGCCTTAAACGTCCATGGCTGGTTTGTTCCAGATTCTTCCCAAGCATCAAGATAATCACCGAGCTCAGTCAGTCGTCCAATATGAGGTTTATGCAGTTCAGAGCGCAAGATAGCTACGCTCTGCATTTGTCTAAAATAGAGAAGGTAAGTTTGCGATAAAAGTCCCCGATCAATCCTCAGATGTCGTCGATCCAACTGCGTTAATGCTCCAATGTGCACGCTTATACGTACCGGTTATTGAATCGTCACATGACCTGGAACTAGCACGCTTTGCAGGATTTGCATCCTCTTTGCATAATCAGATGCCTGTCATAATTTGCGGAACAAATTTTCTGCATGATTGTACAACACTGGTAAAACACGATTCCACTCTTGTATTAATTTGCCTTCACCATCGGCGAACGGATGACTGCTCAAAGGTGTCAAGGAGTCACACCATGTCAAATATTGAAGTGCGGTGAATTTGGCCCACGCCGCTGTAAACGCCATACACCAAAATGACTGGCATACGTCAACAGAGGCAATGACACTATTCAAGACCCGTGCCACGACACTGTCCTGGTCGAGTCTTCAATGTGGACCAACGTGTTGTTAGTAGACCATTCACAACAAGCCAGTTTCGTCACCGTGCATACATGCGATTATAGGTTTACGGTCATTGAAGGACGTAGGAGATCATAGGATGACATCTGGTGACTTCAAACAACCCTTCTGAAGTAAATGGCGGCGTGCCGTAACTCAAGCTAGCTGTTTTACTCTACCGCCATACGAAAAGCTCTATAGGTATACTGATGCAAGCACATGATTTGATGTAGTTTGACCTGGTATGACGGGTCAATCATTGAGCCCTCTCCCTTACAAGTAAACGCTAGATGGATGGCAAAAATAGTGCAGTATGACAATCTATCACAGCAACTAATGACAACATGGTTGTAGAAAACAAGCGGGGTGCTTCTGTTTTTATCTGGCTCATCTAGTAGATGCTCAACAGGGCATCTTTTCCTGCCGCACCGTATGCTGCTGGGGCGGCTAACAAACCAGGTTAGTGGCGTGGCCATTTAACCAAGTCGTTGAACTGTGGGTTGTCCACGTTCATCTGTAAGCCCATGCTTTTTATGCTAGTGGAAAATGTCAAATATTTTTGACACCTGCTGTACATTTATGAATGTTACGCGTATGCCTAAATCATAGTGAAAAGCAGCCATTTCACTAAAACCGAACGCATGAAATGTTTCAATGCGAATATTACTTGTCAGGAATGTTAGGCAGTAGGGAGTTTCGTGCAATAACGACTTCTTCAAATATAATTTACCAAAAATAATTTGTCTGCAGCGATATATGCCCTGCGATGCATCATGAAAGGTTGGGATGATTTGTGTAGTGTAAGAACCCTGACATTCCGTTAAGATTTCAAACGGCAAGCTTCACAGTGGTGACAGAGACCTCACAGTTGTTTCAAAAAGTCGTGGAAGTCGCTTGCCCTGCGCCTTCTGTAAAGAATTAAGCGTGAGGATTGTCCACCAACCTAAACTGGTGTTTCATGTGCCATCTATCAGACTTACCAACTGTCCACGTGGTTCTAAAAGTATGTCGGCGTTTGGCACGTTGTAGTATGCTTTCGTATCAATGAAACGGCTGAAATGCTTGCATAAATCATCCAGATAGGCTGCAATTTTCCTGATTTGCCAAGGTTTCCCCCTGTTCAGATTGAAGGAATGGTTGGTAGTTCCAGCGTTTCAAAAGTTTGGTCGTTAGGGGTTTTTAGACTGTTTTGCTCTGAAGTTGTTGAAGCGTTTTAGTTCCTTGCGAGACGGTTGATTGGCAGGCTCAACAGTTCGCATACCCGGTTGGCGTTATTGAGTTCGTTTTAGTATAATTGGTCATCTCAGTACCGATCGACAACGAACTGCCAGTCGAGCATCGAACATCCATACACCATGATGGCTATGACGCAACCAGTAGTTAGGAACTCCTGATACTTAAAATGAGGTTTCTGTGGCTATGTGTGGCTAAATGTGTGGCTAAATAATGTGGCTAAAAATGAGGTTTCAGGTTCGTTATGGCTTGGTCTTCAACTTGCACGAACTTTGCGAACCGCCGTTGGGCACCGGTCGTGATGCACACTACTGCGAGTGCCTGCAAATAATGTTTTATCTGTTGGTAGTGGCATGATTCAACTTCATGGAACCGGTGTATCCAATTAATGCGGGTTGTGGAAATGCTTGGAAGGGGAGATCTGGCAAGATTTGGACTTCTGGATGAGTGTTTTAGCTAATTTTTGCCTTTGCAGCTGTGCTTTAACGTACAATAGCATAAACCAGTGCATAACTGTGTGTACTAAACGGCCGTAAGTGTTGTATCTGTGTGAGTTTTATTACCGTAAGGAGCGATTCCTTTTGTTCTGAATAAGTGACGGCAGCCATTCGGACATCTGGGGCGCCTTGCAACGAAAGGCATGATCAAAGACGGGCGTATTATTATATCGATGATACAGGAGCCAAATCGAATGGAACCAATATCTGTTCTTGAAACGCATGCTGATAGGCAATGTCAATGCAGTGGAATGTCCGTCTTCCATGTGAGACACATGACAGTAACTTATTGACAGAAATAGTGGCAGGCATTGGTTCGCTGGCATAGCGTTCGCGCGTCAATTTACAAGTCAGCTGATTCACAAATACTTGGATGGATGTTGTTCACGGTTTAGTGCACTTCACGTCTGTGTAGTGTTCATGGCTTGCCTTCCTTAGCCACTTTATGGTGGAGTGTTGGTGCATTCATGATGTCAAAGTCGTTTAGTAACTTCAAGACAACACATGCACTTTCACTGTGCAGTTGGTTTAAGACCTTAATCTACTCTGGGCGCGGGAATCCTAATCTCATCGACTGACGCTTCTTTTAAGATCCCCCTAGATCTTAAAATGGTGCATCTGCCAAATGGTGCTGGCCTCGTGCCACCGCGGTGTTCTTCACCATACTCTGCGCGCTGGCTCCGCTTGTGTCGTGCAACTTTTTCACCATTAGCATCTCTGTGCGATTTAGTAATATATAAAGAAATGCGCCAGATCTTACCATGGAGACCAGTTTTGTCAACATTGAAATGCTGCCGTGACATTACACCAGATAACATAGCTGCATGGAAAATGGCTCAAAAGCCGCGTTAAACGATTCTTTAAAATAATTTCGCTATAATAAACTGCATGAAGCTGTGGCGGGTGCTAGCAAGGACGTATCTCCAGCAACCATGGCGGCTGTGCCGGGCCGTTCAACTTTTAAAATGTTTAACACGCGTCCGGATGGCCGGTTTAACACTCGTCCGGGTGGCCGGTTGAATACCTTTCGCTCGGGCGTGGGGGTCAAATTCCCCTCTGAGATCTCAGAAACAAAGAGAGCCTGAGACACCAAATTTACAGGGTGCACTGCCCTGTACGTGAACTCACTTGTGTCAAAGCCTGGGGTCCAAGATTATGATCTTTGAGATAAATAGGGCCAAGCAAGGTAAAATTTCAGGTTGGTGCCCAAAGTGCCCCCAGATCTTCTCATTCCATCACATTGCACGTAGATACCTGCTCTAAGGAAAAGTTCATTTGCGCTTATTTTAGTTCAGTTACCTTGTTTAACCTTTGAAGGTGAAGGTGACGGAAATAATACAAAACTGCTTTGATTTCTGCATTCGAATAAGCGTCAAGGATTACGCTAGGTAGTATGTTCCTAAAAGCAAAATGCTGACCAGAGTATTTGAGATCAAGGACTTATTCTGACTTATTAACATGCGCTTCGGATGGGGTCAATTTGATCACCTAAAGGTTTTCTGGAATGGTTTCCGAAGGTCGCGGTTTAGCCGCTCCAAATTTGGCATAGCTGTAGAAGATTGAACAGCGGGTAGTTTGCTATCAACAATTTAAAGATGTTTGCGGTATGGGATAGTTGTATATGGCGCTCATTTCGATTTTTTGATAATATAAATCACATTATGCATCTCCCACGGACTTCCTATATGTCGGGATAGATCACTGACCTAAAATGACCCAGGCCAACGTTTTGTATTTTTAGGAACATACTGCCTAGCGTGATCTTTGACACTTATTGAAATGCAAAACTCAAGAACAAGAAGTCCTGTATGGTTTTGGTCACCATGACCTCCGAAGGATCAAACAAGGTCGCTGGCCCTAAACGAACACCAATTATATTTTGCTTAGAACAGGTATCTAGGTCCCGGGCACTTAAGAGACCAACCCGGAGATTTACCTTGTTTGACCTTATTCAACCCGAGATTAATGAACTAGGACCCTTCAACTTTGACTGAAGTGAGTTCAGATACAGGCCAATACACCCTATAAATTTTATGTCTCTGGCCCTCTTAGTTCATGAGAACTTAGAGGGTCAAACTGACCTCCCCACCCGAGCCAAGGGTATCCAACCAGCCGCCCGGACGCGCGTTAACCAAACCGCCCGCTTGATACAGTTTGAAAACGGTGCTGTAAATGCATTTGATTTATTTGGTAACTGAATGACCGTGTTGCAACAATCATGCATATTTTTTCTTTGAATTCATTCCCTCACTGTTGCTTTGCAATGCCAGAGTTTGGCGCCCGCGCAAGACTGCATTTGGAAGCAGGAGTGCTGTAGCAATGCCAGCGATATGGATGTATGGCAACCAAAACATATGTCCAGTACCTTTGTCACCAGCGCTCGATTACCTCGATACGCTACGTACATTGGCTATGGTTGTGTGGATTCCTCTTCTACTTGTGTGCATCATTGCAATCGGATTACTTACGTCATCAACAATCAACTGTATAATATATTTTGCTCTATGCAAAATTGCTTTGGCATTTCTCCTGGAGCGACGTTTTTCTTCCGTGCTGACTTGGGCGGCGGGACCAGAGCTGTCCCCCTCCGACATCTGCCGAGCGTGACGTCTGAACCATCGGGCCTCGGCACGCGACAGCGGCGGGCGCGTGTCGCCACCGGCGCGCGGCCCCTCACCGGTGCGCCCGCGCTGACCTTGACCGACGCACACTCTCCCGTAGGCGACAATGGTGGACCACACCGGCAACACGACCCTGCTCGAGGACAGATCGCTTCCGTGCTGGACGTTTGCCGATGATGTAACTAACCGTAGCAGCTGAGACAGCCTCGCCTAGCGCTCGACGCCTGACACCCAGCCAGTGTTATAGTCGCACATCGACGCCGTTGTGTACGCACGATAGACATAGCTAGAGGCTAGAGCCGCCGCCAGGCGCATAACTAGAGGCTAGAGTCGTCTCCATGCGCATGGCTAGCGGCTAGAGCCTATGGCAGGTGGGTGTCTTGTGGTCGTGTGTGGTCTGGACAAGGCGATGTGACACTGCGGTCTGGCTCGGCGCCGAGTGATTGAGGCAGGGTGGACTTAAAACAAAGCGCAGAAGGGAGCCACAGCACCCGGGTCATTGACACGAGAGCAGAGTCACATCGCCTATGTTCCCGCCGACTTGGATAGAGTAGAGTGTTGTGAGATCCACGTCTGAAGAGATACGAAGGATTTCTTCGCACATAAATATCTTGTCGAATTAACGAGAACGCTGAGAGCACCGATAACAAATGTCCATTGGTCCCTCTAAACCAAACGACATAAGCTGAATGATTATTTTGTAAGCCTCTGTCCCATCTCCCGTCCTTATTGTTAGAAACGTGCGTGAGCGCAAGACATGTGTGTCCGTTTGTGTTTGTGTGCACGGGCAGGTGAACAATGTACTAAATAGCCAGAACTTCAAGCCAGGTGCGACACCCTTGTAATGAAGTGGTGACCTTAAGGACCGGAGGCAGGGGCGACTGGAGACTGACTGGAGACTGACTGGAGACTGACTGGAGACTGACTGGAGACTGGATCTACCGTAACGCCGTCCCGTGACCGGGTGGCACGCGGGCGAATGATAACGTCTGCATGGAACAGATATCACTGGGTGCGTGCTATAACGGCCGTTTTCCTAGCTGACCGCCGTGAGAAATGCGTAGGAGAAACAATGAAGCTGATGCACACTGGACCTGAGATGGAGGCTGCATAAGCTCCTTAGCGAAGGCCTTGTTCACCGTGGTAGCTTCCCAAAACGCATTCCTTCTTGCTGCCATGTACGTGGCCGTTGTCGCCAACAATGCGTATCTCGAGCTCTATGGTGCTAGTAGGTCCTTTGAACATCTAAGATTACTGGAGGGAGGTAACACAATAATCATACGACCTGATAATTGGGAACTGCATAGGTGGAATCTGCGTGCAGAATCAGACGGTCATTTGTCATGCAAATAGACATGGGCTGGTGGAGGTCTCGACTTTTCACTGAAGTCCTCGGGAGTGGAAGCAAAGTGATTGCACTTGATGTGTGCTTGACATTCAGTTTCGCGGCGCTTCCTGCAGTCCCACAACATGATCATCCCGTGTCACAACACGCGTTGTGCCGCGGCTCTTGCTCGGCGTGGGGCTGGCCGTGATCACGGCCGTGACCACGGAGACATCACGAGTTGTACAGTGGTCAGCTTAGGTGGCGACTGTGGCTGGTGTGATAGGTGTGATAGGTGTGATAGGTGTGACTCATGAGGAGCATACGGTGAGGGATGGAGGGTCTGTTCTGGTTCGGCTGGTCATGGGGTACATACGGTGAGGGATGGAGGGTCCGTTCGGGTTCGGCTGGTCATGAGGTACATACGGTGAGGAATGGAGGGTCTGTTCCGGTTCGGCTGGTCATGAGGTACATACGCGGATGGATGAGGGGCCTTTTTGTATTCGGCAGGGCATGTCTTATGTAGTTGATTACTGTGTTGACCACCAGGCCCATTTAAGCTCATTAGACCGTGGAAGCTCCACATCCTGAGCGGAGTCGCGTCGCGTCGGCGCTGACAAATACAGAACGGCTCTTTGTGGCATTCGTATAACGCTCTAGGAGGACTGCGCATTATCGATGGACTGAGCGACGTGGACCGCATTGTCCTGGTGTGTCACCTTCACGCTTCTCTTGGTCCCCCTGCTGTGCCGTCATGTCGTGCTTCACTCGTCCGTACTCCTCTCTTCACTCTTCCGACACTCCTCGTTGCTTAAGCACATGAACGTGCCGTCGTGATGTCGCGTCTTCGCAGCGATGACTCGGGTCATCGATGTCGTCACGTCCTCATCACTAGAAGTTTGACTTGAGGTGTTAGTTGTTGCAAGCTTGCACCGTCCTTTATATCGTCGTTATTATGTATGAAAAATGCGATTACGCTGCGCTCCTCACCATACAGTGTGTATATTCACCGGATTACCTCGACCATAAAGCCACCGTACCCAGGACCGCAACATTCGTCTGCAAAATTGCCTCCTGGTGACGGACGTTCGCGTGTGAACGGGCTTGGAGTGTTGTGTTGGAGTTTAAGGCTATTTGGGGTTTGGACAGGACACGCATGTCTTGCAAATGCTGCGGGAAACAACAGCTTGCATTACCTTTGTGAGATATCCCACTTGCTGAGTCCCACGACTGGGCAAGATCCCTCAATTCTGTGGAACGACAAACGCCACCACATTGGTCATTGCCTGCTCGCGTTGGGGGTTAGATGGAACAGCTTTCATGCAACATTACATATTGAATTGTGATTGAACCAGAGTAGTTAAGAAATAACGCGGAGTGGTCACAGCCACTCGGTAAGTAACCATCCGAAGTCAGTAAGTCTCAAATAACTCTGTGACTGCTGGCGCTAAAACTAAACTAGCGCGCGGTGCAACACTCACTGGCGGAGACGGGAACAACAATCAACAAATTGTTCAGAATCGGAAGACGCCAAACACCTCAAGGGGATGTGCTAGATTGCATTCCTCCTATAGCTGTCATAACTATAGCAATTCGAACTAATAAGTATCTGCTTTGCCCGCTCCCCTGGTTTGGAACTCTCGGTTGGCCGGACTTACTCACGGATGATTATGATGCAATAATGATGAGGAAGCTGTAGTGGGCCGCACTCCCATAGTTACGCGTTGTTGACTCTCTTAGTCATTGATCACCAGCAGTGACCAAATATTGTGTTTTTATAAGCCGAAATGCTCTTTAACGCCGATCGTTTCTGCCTCATCCCCCATGTTATGTCACCCGCTTTCCTCTTTCCTTTCGCACCCCGCCAGATTCGTTCCGCACGTCCTTGTGCGCCACAGAGTTGAGCTTGCGCGCACCCTTCAGACAATGTAACGCACTTTCCCGATACATTCCTGATGGGGTGTTCCGCGCCGCAGTCGTAGATTAAGCCCCTCACCCCTCTCTTTCCTCCCCCCCCCCACAGTTGAACCCTTCACCCCTCTCCTTCCTCTATCTCACAGCCAAACCCCTCACCCCTCTCTTTCCTCTCCCTCACATTTAAACCTCTCACCCCTCTCTTGCCTCTCCCTCACAGCTAAACCCCTCACCCCTCTCTTTCCTCTCCCTCACAGTCTTTCATGCTGCTACCCTGTGTATAATGCATGGAAACCGGCCCAGCCCCGCAGATCGGTCTGGCCGTATTGCGTTGGCTGTTCAGTAGTCGGGTCCTGACGCGGTGCTCTCTCCCGTTTGTCCCGACACTGCCCATTGCCCTGGGACCGTGTGGCCCGGCGCTCCGCTCTGTCCCGTGACTCGCACCCCTGCCCGTTTCTGGTGCCCTTTAGCATGGTCCGCCTCAGCCGGGCTTCTCTGCCGGCGGGCTCCGGTCCTGCACACGCCCGGTGCATGAAACGACTCACCTGCGCGTATTCTCTGCTCGCCAACTTCTGGTGCCCTCCGGCATGATCATCCTGTCCGTATGCTCGAGCCCTCCCACATTTGATGCACGGCGTGACTTCCTTGCCGACCCTGTTCCGACCCTGCTCGCGCTTAGTGCCCTGTGACATAACCCCTTTACCCGTGTGCTCCGCCCTGCTCATGCCTGGTGGCCTGTGATATGACCTCCTTGCCGTGTGCTCCGCCCCTGCTCATGCCTGGTGGCCTGTGATATGACCCCCTTGCCCGTGTGCTCCGCCCCTGCTTGCGCCTGGTGGCCTGTAATATGACTTGCCCCCTCTCTGCTCATGCGTCCAAGCCCTGCCACGCCTGGTGCGCGCGCTGAGTTAGGCTGATGCGCCTCCTCTCTGCCCGGCAGCGCCCCAGCTCTGACGACGGCGAATGGGTGTTTCAGCGCGAGAAGGACCACGGCTCGCACATCTCCTGCATGTTCCGGCTACCATTCGCCGCCGGCTCCGTCTTCTCGGCCTCCATGCTGGACACGCTGCTGTACCAGGCCTTCGTCAAGGACTACCTCATCATCTTCGTGCGGCTGTTGCTGGGCATTGACCAGGCGCCGGGGTCGGGTTTCCTCACGTCGGTGAGAGTCGCTCACGCCAGTCACACGCGTTTCGCGTGTGCAGGCGCCATCCCTGGTGTCAGATGCACGCGCAAACGGTGCCGGAAAGGAATTGTGGGTGCGCAGGAAAGAGAGCAGTGTCGGCGTTGCGTTCTCTCGTGCGAGTGTTTCTGTGCTTGTTTGGTTCTGTGACGGATGGTGAAATGGTTGATTTGTGCCTGCCAGATGCGTATACTGCCCGGAGACATGTGGATCCGGACGTATGGTCGGCTGTACCAGAAGCTCTGCTCCACCACGTGCGAGATCCCCATTGGGATCTACCGCACCATGGACACGTCGGAGAGCGCTTCGGACATCGTAAGTTAGAGCACGTGGAGGAGCTGTTAAGTGAGGTAGCGGTTTCTCCCATGTAGGTTTTACTGTGTCGCGCAGGGAGCGGGCCTCCTAAAGCGCAAGGGAGAATGATTGACAACGCCGAGATTAGAACCCGCCTGGCCCCTAGTCTAACGCGTACATTTGGAATACAACGAAAGAGTCGCCAAGATTACAAATTAAATTGCGTTCCTGCTCTTCGTCTATCTTACTACGCACTAGTTGACCCAACTTTGTTGAAATATCGTATTTCTAGTGGACCCATTAGGTGAATCGTGCAGCTATCGTGTTCAATTGAATATTGCAGCTATCGTGTGCATTACCTAACGCGTATAACGTGTGTACGGGGCTTCAGTGCGGGCAGCAGGACGACCCCAAGGCCAATCACTCTCAGCTGATCGAACGAGCCGAGATCTCCCAGCTGGTGCGCAGTCGGATGCAAAGCCTCGGTGAGTAGGAGATAGCCGACACGTGTGATAAACCCCACCCCACATTTGATGTTTAAATACATGCGCTCCGAATTTCGGTTGGAGCCTGGTGGGAAGCGACGGTGTGGTGAGCCTGAAGCTGCTGGACGAATCATCTTTCAAGGAGCAGTGACGATTAACGCTGTAGCAATGCCAACGAACGCTGTTATGTCCACTGCCACGTCTGCCTACCGTGTTCCCTGTCTGTTCAGAGCACCAGCCTTGTGCTCCGTATCCGGATAAGCAGGTCTGCCGCTGAACGTGCCCCCGCACCGCCCTCTCCCCACGTCCCTGGCCAACCCTGTACACCGCCCTCTCCCCATGTCCCTAGCCAACCATGTACACTGCCCTCTCCTCGCGTCCCTGGCCAACCCTGTGCACCGCCCTCTCCCCACGTCCCTGACCGACCCTGCACACCGCCCTCTCCCCATGTCCCTAGCCAACCCTGTACACCGCCATCTCCCCGTGTCCCTGACCCACCCTGCACACCGCCCTCTCCCCCATGTCCCTGACCAACCCTGTACACCGCCCTCTCCCCATGTCCCTAGCCAACCCTGTGCACCGCCCTCTCCCCGTGTCCCTGACCGACCCTGCAGTGGGTCTGCCGCTGAACGTGTCCGCGCACCGCCCTCTCCCCATGTCCCTGGCCAACACTGTACACCTCCCTCTCCTCGCGTCCCTGGCCAACCCTGTACACCGCCCTTTCCTCGTGTCCCTGACTGACCCTGTACACCGCCCTTTCCCCGTGTGCCTGACCGACCCTGTGCTGCGGCCCCTGGTGGCACAGTGCTCTCCCCGTGTCTCTGACTGGCCACGTCCTGCGGCTCCCCGTTCACAGAGGGCTCTCCCAGTGAACCCGACAGATCATGTACTGAGACCCCCCCCCCCCCCCCCCCTGTGACACAGGTTTGCCGGTGGAGGACTATGACGACGTGTCCGAGAAACGGGGCAGCATCAGCTACGTCATCATCAACCCCAGCTGTGACCTGAAGCTGGAGCAGGGCGACATCGTGTACGTCACCGTTGCGAGTTGACCCGTGATTGGTCGGGGTCGTGGGATGTTGTCAGCTGGCCCATGTCATGCGTGTTTACGTTTGTGTTTGTGTGTGCTCGTGTCGTGTGCACGAAGTACACATGAGTGGCCTTGCGTCGGGGTAGCCGAGGCTAGATTCTGTGACGCCTGCGTCAGTTTTGGGGCTGGGGTCCCGAAGTTGCTCCCGGCACTAATCGGCACATTTCGTCATTCGCGCATTACCGGATAGCCTTCGTTGATCCACTTTCTGTTTCCAAATTCAAGGGATCGATGGTGTCAGTTCATATACTGTCGAAAGTCGTGTGTTAGTTGTTCACAAACTTTTTCGGTGATAACCATATTGTTATTGGGCCTCAGTTCAGTTGAGTTTGAAATAATCCGACAGGGTAGTAACAGTTTGTTCTTCGTTTGAAGGAAAAAACGTTTTGCCCGCGAAACGTTTGTGTGTGTGTTGACACTGACTGTTGATTGAGCAACGCACATCGATTAATCGGGAAAGCGGAACTTAGGTCGGTGTGGCCGACGCTAGATTGAGGTCCAACCGTTCCATAGGCCACTGTACGACGGTCTATGGAACTACGTTATCATGTTTGTGCTAAACAACTGACCTGACCGCTATATGAAATAGTCTATCTATGGGAAGTAGCTGTAAAATGACAATGCCAGGCATCGGAGATATATTCAAGCTGTTTAACTGCACCATTTACTGTGTCAGGGTTAGATCATTTGAATCGCTCAAGGTCAAGGTCAAGGGTGCTCGCATAACATGATCTGCCGCCGGGGCGAGATGATGCCAAGAACTCAAAGAACTTATGCACGGTCTCGTAACAATAGCCCGTCTTACCTCATTTACCAGGTCATCTGTGATATTCGTATTGAATCTGTACGCGGCTATCTGATTAGATAGAAAACATCATACCTGTGTAATTGCAACTCCATATTGAGTGAGCAGGGTAACGAACATGATCTGGGATGATCTGATAAAGAACCAGAGGAGCGAGCTGTTCTTAGGAACCCTAGGATGAATGCATTTCTTGATCATCGCGATGAGGTCGGGACCGGCAATGGAACCGACCGAGCGAGCGAGCGACAAAGGCCTCCTTCTGTCGCCCGCTTCGTGAGTCCACATTTTTAAATGCGATCGCAACCCAACTACGCAATGTATCATTTGAGTGACTACCCGTTGCAAAGCCTCGAATCTTCAAAAGCATTGGATCTTTGTTACCTGGAGCCGGCTTTGTTCGCTCGGTTGCCGGCGGGCCGGCGCCGCTCGCCTCCGCAGGCCCGCTAAATCACGGTGAAGCACAGCCCTGCACACCTCGCCGGCGGCATGGCGGGAATATTGAAGCGCCCTGTCAATTACTGTTCAATGTCTGCTTCTTCGGCGTGGGCAGAGTCGGGGCCGGCAATGTCTCTTCTCCGCTAGTCCCAGCATTTCGACAAAATACGACTCCATTTGAGCAAGACGTGAGCCTCAGGCCGCCGACGCTGAACTAGTGGCACGGCTATTCAGGTAGTCAGCTTTGATCCCGGGCGACTGAGATAACGACTGAATGTCGCTGTCCCTAACTAAGGAAAGTAGAGACATAGAATTTCCGAAAGCGGCTGAAAAGGCAGGCTTTGGCTCATTCAAATTAAGATAAGGAAGCACGTGATGCATTTGTTGATAAAGTAGAGACGGAGGAAATATGGCAAAGTTGAGATGAGAAGCAAGTGTGCTAAGTGCTCACAGGCATCTTCATTTCTTGCTATTGCACCGCTTCTACCGGTGCGTACATGTGGCTGTATCATACTCCTGTTTGTGGCTGTTGGCGAGCTGCGGATGGCGCATTTGTGGTCGATCGTCGCTGGTGCCCCGATCGAGTGCGCTGGCCGCCGCTCAGGCCGTCAGCCCCCTGCCTCACGCCGCAGCTACCTGATCCGCCCGAGCCCGTTCTCGGCCCAGAAGACGTTCGAACGCCACAACAGCCGGCGCAAGTCCAACATATCCATGTGCGACCCGCGCCGTCGGGGAAGCGCCTGCTCGCGCAACACGGTCGGCAAGAGCAACTCGCTGAACCTGCCCGACAGCCCGCACCAGAACCCGCCGTACCAGCGCGCGCGCTCCAGCTCGCTGCGCGTCGACGACATCCTGATGAAGGTGTGGTGCGATATGCTGGCGTTGTGTGGTGTTAGGCAAACAGGGGCGGTGTGAGCTCCGATCCGCCCTTTAACGGACGGATCGGTTTGTGGCTCGCGGCGCTCTGTCCCAGTGTCGGCTGGTTCGCTGTTGCCTTAATCACTATGGGCTGCAAGTCGGGTGGACTCTCCTTTTGCTCGCATGATTTAGTGTGTTTTCTCTTCACGATTTGTTTTCCTGTTCTGGTCGCATGTGCATTCAACATCTGTTGTCAATGTACGAGTGCGGGGTCTCTGCCCGTCTCATCAGACTCAATGCTGGCTTCACGCTTCAGTTCCTGGGAATAAGTAATGCGCTCGTAGCGTCTACTATTACCGAAGATATGGAATGTGCGCTTCCAGTAAAACGTTCATTATGCTCCCATGTAGTGCGGCACATATACGTGTATTCATTTTCGGAGCCCACCTCTGAACCAGCACCGATAATTTAAGTTCATATTCAAATTTAAAATACAGTTTTCAAAATCTGCTATTTTAGCTGGCTGTTTGGTTGTATGAAACATGTGAGACATGGTCAAAGTGGAGACGTTTTCTTTATTCAGGGAGTGTCACCTTGCCATCTGCATGATAAGCAATGTCGCAATCACAAACAAGCAACTACTTCTCACTTTTGCGAATGTAAGTTTCGCTCATTTTCTGTCTGTTCCATCACTGCGATGCTATCATTTTCTTTTACTTACGGCACGTCTTGTTTCAGCCTTCAGGAGAGTTCGTGCTTGAAGTAACTGAGTACAATATTTAATCCTTAACTGCTAGATTGTGGCCACGCCTGGCGCTTTTGGGCGTGAACACCTTTAAGCACCATAACACTCTTTCCGGCTGACTTCCCCGCACTTCCCACCCGCTTAGGATCCTCGCCCCCTCGTGACTTGCAACGGCACGTACAATTAATACGGGTCTTATATCCCGTTGTGGATCAGCGTCTGTAAATCACTCATAGAGCTGCGGTGCCGGAAGTGCCTAATGCATGAGCAGTTTAAACATTCCCAGCTGATGCAATATCGAAGCAATAAAGCACGAGCCCCGGATCACTCCGCTAATGCAAATAATGAGACTGATCCCGACTGGCAGCTCATTACCGCTAATTGATTTGTCGACTGAACATTTTGTTGATTGAAGCGCATAGCTCCAAGCGTGTCTCTCCACAAAAACCAGCTCCTCGCATCCTGCAGAACAGCCCATCTACTAATAACCAGGAGGAAGTATACCGGTCTGGTCCGCGCGATGTCACTGTCCTTTCCCGATACAGAGCAAGATAAATAGAAAGAGTGAGAGTTCAGGGCTGACCCGGAGCTGGTCTCCCACCTGTACCTGTCGCCGGGCCCAGGGAGTCCGTGCCCATCCCACGGCCCAGCCACAGCCCGAGTCCGTGTCGTGGCACCCACCCTACCGTGCAGCGGCTGCTGGCCTGGCCGGCACTTTGCTTAGTCGCCGCCCCCGGCCGCCTCTGCGCGCAGCGTTCCAACTCGCTCCGACTCGGCCTGTACGAGAACACGCGCAAGATCGCCAGCCTGGAGGAGCTGGGCGGGCTGGGCGCCAGCCTGCCGATGAACCCGGCGCTGCGTGACCGCAACGCCCGGCTGCCGCTGACCGACAGCATCGGCCTCAAGGTCACGCCGCCCGACGAGCAGCAGGCGGCCGGCGTCGGCTCCGGCTCCGAGTCGTCCATCCCCAGTATTCACCTCGAGGTTTGTTATTGACCCTGTAAGTGGGAGGCGACGGCGCGCGTAGCTGTCTGTTCGCCTCTGGCACCGCCCGCGCCGACCGCATGCAGGCCACCTCACCGTCTTCGCCACCGCGTCTGCACCGCTTCGGTACCGAGTCCGGACCGCGCCTACACCGGTTCGGTACCGAGTTCGGACCGCGTCGGCAACGCTTCGGTACCGAGTCCGGACCGCGTCTGCACCGCTTCGGCACCGAGTCCGGACCGCGTCGGCACCGAGGCGGTACCGACTATGGACCGCGTCGGCACCGCGGCGGTACCGACTCCGGACCGCGTCGGCACCGAGGCGGCACGGAGTGCTCGTGATCCTGGGCGGACCCCGTGACGTCACAGGGGCTGGACACTCAGGCCCACTCACTGCATTGAGACCGAGAACGAGGCGGCGTGGCCGAGCCTGGGAATTGCTTGGAGCTGTGAGAGACTGGCCCGATCATAATGGAGTGCGTGCTGTGCGCGCGTAGGTAGACAGCTGGCAGCTCTAGGGTTGTCTCTCAGAAGGCCGGCTGGTCGGAAGGTGTCAGCACCCACGTGGGCACGAGCTGCTGGACAGCGCCGTTCGTAACGCTGGGTGCACCATGCCACCTTCTGCTCGTATATAACTGAAGGGCGTGCGCAGTAAACAGCATCGTCTTGAATGCATTACATTTAGTAACTGATCAGCTCACGTGCACACAAATGAGCGCATTGACAAAGCTTTTGTTTACTCTCCCATTTACCTCATATATAATTCACATGCACGTCAACAGAAATGTGTGGAAGGGCCGTCAAATTAATGCTTTACGGATGTAAGGAAATGCTTTTTATGGAGCGCAACCGAGGCGTAGCCAGGAGTACAGCGTAACATTGCGCTCAGATGTGGTTGTGAATTATGCTTAAGTTTTGTTGGAAATGTCTTAAAACATTAAAACCCGAGCTCTTGGTTTCATCTTGTGACGACTGGCACGCACGTCTTTATTTTGCGCCACTAGCTCAATTAGTGACAAACAGACTTAAGACTCTTAGGGTGCCTGTTTCTGTTAACACAGCGTAGCCAGCTCAGTGAAATTTGTCCCCAGCGTAGCCAGCATCTAGCTAGGGAAGTGGGGGATGGTTTTAAAATAGCCGAAAAATGTCCGACAGCTCATGAATGCTACCATAAAACCGCATTTTCAGACTCAGTCTATTTGAATGTTAGCTGACGCCCGATTTGCTGTTTTCATAATGCAAACTTATGACGGGGGGGGGGGGGGGCACTGCAGCCACTCCTGTTTCTAAACCACGAAAGCTCGCCACCTACCTGGATGAGGGTTAAAGGAAATAATACTACCAAATGCAATACCGTGCTTCAACGCATACTAATATGTAATGTTTGATAGAATGACAGCACCTTAGAAAGTTTAGCACGTCTTGGGATAAGAGTTGAAAGTTTGATAGGTATATATATATGCATTTATGTGCGTATATATATATATATATATATATATATATATATATATATATATATATATATATATATAAACACGTCATTTCATATGTGCAATCCTGTATGCACAGAAAATGCGCTTCATTTATTTTCTCGCACGCTGTTGAAGTGTTTTTCACCGCGACATATTTTGCACGGTGGTCAGACTGTTAGGACGTCACGTATAGCTGCATGAATAGCTGTCAGCTCCCATTCAGGCGAGACAATTTGAGCAAGGTGTGTTAAACGTGAATTACTTCGTAATACGTGACCGTAATTATTTTAGCTTCGAATAGGTACCTCTAACGTGTATATATACATGCCATAAGAAATATATACAGTGACCTCCCATTCTTTCCCTAATATTTCAAGACTTTGTAATGCATCCGATGCGTTAACACGCTCCCGAGTGGACGGTTGAATACCATTGGCTCGGGTGGCGATCATTTTAACCCCCTGATATCTCAGAAGCTAAGGGAGCTAGAGACACCAAATTTACAGGGTGCGTTGGCCTGTGCGAGAACTCACTTGCGTAAAGATTTCACTGCCTTAGGTTATGACCTTCAGGTGAAGTAAGGTCAAAAAGACCAAACTCCAGGCTGGTGTCCTCATTAAATTGTTGTGTTGCCCAAGAAACTATCTCAGAGATGGAGAAATTATCCTGGAGATGTGTGACTTCGTCTAACACTCCGTTATTGCATCAGATTGAGAGACTCCACAGAAACTGCTTTCGCTGAATCCATGGCCTGAATTTTACCTGCCGTAGGTCCGCAACCTTACAAGGTACATCTAAATATTTGATACCAAAGGATTCTCTATTTAACTGTCTACATGCAAAATTTGGCGCGGCTGCGACGCGTTGTTCGGAATCCATTCTGGAAACACTTTCGAGGGGGTCAAACTGACCCCCACCCTAACGGGCGCTAAGCAGCGATTAGAGGAGCAAAGTCAAGTAGCGATAGCTCCAACTTACACAGCTCTCACGTGCGGTCGGTGCGGCCTTTTCAGCAGTTGCCACTGCCGCGCGGTTACCACAGCAGTGGCAGACCAGCCTCCTCCCGGCGCAGGCGGCGCAGCTGTCACGCTCAGCGCTAGCCGGCAGCCAATCTATCGAAAGCTTGAAATAGGGATTGAAACGTTTCAAGCTCGTAAGGGCATTGCATCTGAAGGCCAGACCGCAGGCCGAGTGAAAACTGTTTGAACGCAACTCGAGTGGTGAGGCCAAAGCTGATGACACTGAAGCCGAAGTCTTTGCGCCTCTGAACTCCTTCACGTCAGAGCCCGTCGTAGTTTTGCTCCGCTTTGGCTCGTTTCCTCGAGTAAACAAAGTTATTTTCTTGCTTACATTCCAAATTATCTCTCAAAGTTTCCATCGATTATGCACATCATCGTCAGCGTCATCGTTGGTGCAAACCTTAATATAATTCCAAGCTAAAAATAAAAAAATCCTTGTTCTCGTCGGTATTTTTGTTAAGTCATTTCAGCATTTAGAAAGAAGGAATGATAACGGGGGTCCTTTTAGTTTTTAAGTCAACAGGTTTATTTCGCGCTGCCCTTGTATGAAGAATCGATGTATAGGCCTCTGCAACAGGATACCTCGTCGTAGACTCAACACTTGTACATACAGATTTCCATGTCCCTTTTAACGTGCTGAACTTCTCTGAATTATGCCAAACGCAGCCACATGCGCCGACAAAGTGAGTGCTACCAGCGGCGGTTATTTGACGCGTGGTATCGGATTTCTTAGTTGAACGCCGCTCCGTCAGATCTTGGCCTTGCCGTTGTGCTAGCGAGCAAGTTCCAGATGTGATGGAGAGCTGTTTTTAGTGAGTAATGAATGCAATAAAACCCAACTAAGGTGTGAAGACAATGGGACACATAAAACATTTATGTATGCTCAATTATGAAACATATAGCGTATCATGCAAATTATATATTTTAATGCTTGTTTTATATTTGGAACCATGAAATATATAGCATAATTGCTGAGGCATATAGCGTGCTTAAAACGTCATGCCTCAGCAACGCGAAATTTTACGTAATATCTGCATTCCATTTTCTTTATGTACGAATTATTAATGTTGGTGGATATCCATTAACTCCAGCCCTAATCCGAGGATGTCCTGCTTAAACGGAGTGTGAATTGTAAGGCAGCACGAGTTTTCCGCAAATCGGCCGTAAGGAGGCAGAAAAGCTGTCTTGTTTGCCGTGTTGTCCGGAATAACCATTCCTCCAGAATTGTTTCCCTTGGATCATGTGCGTCCCTTGCTCTCCCCACACCGCGAGCCGGGGAGGAAAATTGACAGACGATGGACGATGTATTGCCATGTAGTGAAGCGACTGAGTAACCAACATCATGCAATAGCATTGTAACATTGTGATTGGACTGCACACATCCGCATGGTAACATGTAGCTGGAACTATGGTTTATGTTTAAACCATGTTTAGTTGAAAAGGTCGTGGAACACCGGCTGCAAAAAAAAAATCTCGATTTACTCGAATGGACAACCGGGGACAACTATTATATCAACCGGGGACAACAACCGGGGACAAATGGACGACAACTATTATATCATCAGCCTTCAGTGCCTCAGCAGGGACTTTTTATCATGAGCCTTCATTGTCTCAACAGAGGCTTTTTATCATGAGCCTTCAATGTTTTAAAAGGTCTGAGAGGCTCTACAGAAGTTTTAATCCATTTTCAAACACTTGAGGTCTTCTCCAAATGTGTGAAGATTCCAAAGGCAGCACGCACATGCTGCAATAAAGAACGCAGCTTCTGCACCCAACAGCCGGTGTACACGCGTTTAAGGAGTCTGTATATATTTGTTCCGGGCCGTGATCGGGACTATGAGGCTCTCATCCGTTAAAGACCGAGCCCGCTGATGCCCAACCGGCAGAGGTTGGTTCACTCTGACCGAGCCCGCTGATGCCCGACCGGCAGAGGTTGGTTCACTCTGACCGAGCCCGCTGATGCCCGACCGGCAGAGGTTGGTTCACTCTGACCGAGCCCGCTGATGCCCGACCGGCAGACGTTGGTTCACTCTGACCGAGCCCGCTGATGCCCGATCGGCAGACGTTGGTTCACTCTGACCGAGCCCGCTGATGCCCGACCGGCAGAGGTTGGTTCACTCTGACCGAGCCCGCTGATGCCCGATCGGCAGACGTTGGTTTACTCTGACCGAGCCCGCTGATGCCCGACCGGCAGAGGTTGGTTCACTCTGACCGAGCCCGCTGATGCCCGACCGGCAGAGGTTGGTTCAGTCTGACCTGCGTCACGCTCTCATCTCATCAGCATGAATGCCTGGGTACACCCGACGTATACAGTTACGCTGCCGGTCGCATTTCGTGAACTAAAGAGAAGCGATCTTTCCCAATGTTCATGGGCATTTATGGTGGTATTTCCGAATGTTGTGTCCCTGGCTGCGCAGGCGTAAAAGAACAAAAATGCATTTCCATAAAGCTGTTCCATCTATTCGTGTGTAATTGGTGTTGGAAGCTTTGAATAGTTAATCACAATACGCGGCCAACTGTGTAAACCTCTCGCCAAAAATAATGCGATGCGGTAAAAATGCATACACAATTTCTCCCTTTTCCTTTGGCTTTTGTTTCATTGGTTCTCCTTGGATGAGTGCAATATACATACACAATTTGCTGTCCAATTAAATTAGGACACACATTCAACATCGGCGAATTCAACGCGTACCAAACTACCATGAAATTCCGACAGTCCAATAAATATGTTAAGTCCATTTACATGTATCCTAATGCCTTTGCATATGACTGCGTTTGCTTAGTTCTCCGCATCATCGTCACGATGATTTATTTTCACATCGCTCGTTCCATACGGCACAGGCTGTGGATTCGCTACGGTTGTAGTTTATGGCGCATATAGCAAAGGATATATTTATTCAGGCTGTTAGGTACTCCATATGGGTTGGCCCTATTTAACAGGTCATCGATCTCTTTGTTGGACGATTCGACACTTCATACACCTGTATTTTGTGCGGTTGAATGAACATCTGCCTGCAGTTAGGCACATCACTCACGCATATAAACCGAAGCATTGCATTTTTAGCCCCGCATGAAAAATGTACCAATAAGACTGCACATACAGCACACCCTTTTCGATTTCCTCAGTATGAGCCCGTATATGCCTTCGTGTATCTCCGCCTGCTGGCGAAACATATGCTTATGGCTGTTTGTTTATGGTCGTGTGGAGTGGTGTAGGCAAGAGGTGGAAATTAGCTCAGTCAGTTAAGATAAAGAAGGTACTTTAGATTTTTAAAAGAAACGTGCGACTCAAAGCGTGGAAGTCAGGAGCTCAAATAGCACTTTAATGTGATATTTCCGAGAATGTACGCAGTTCCATGTTGTTGTTCTGTGTGGTGTCAGCACCAGTGGTGCGGCGTGATGTGCGACACCGGCGCCGAGGCGGCTGGCGCAGCCGTCACCAGGCGTGGGCCCACTGTTGCAGGGCACCATCGTATGACCCGAGGACACCAGCTCAGACTCGGACCCGGAGCCGGCCAGCCTCAGCGATTAGGCGGTGGCAGCGACGGCGGCTCGCATGCCAGGGATCACTCCAGATGTCGGCAACAGATGGCAGAAGAGGCGATACTAAGCGTGGCTGACGTTGGTGCGGTTCTGTCGGGTTTAGGCTGCTGGTAGACGTCTGCTTATGTGAGCAGACATAGTGGTTGGAAGAGTGGAGCGAGTGGAACACGGACAGTTTAGTCTATACGATATAGAAGAAGCATGGAAACTGCTCCCCACTGGCCGGGCATCCACTCAGAAAAAGACATGATGCTGCACTTTGTATTTGTATTGTTGTCTTGTTACACCAATGACGCTGTTAACTACGTTTAGGTTCGTTCCATATGTTATCCTTTTATTTAATACGTTGTGTGTTACATCTGGTCATCAACTCCGTGAGTAACGTTGTCGGGATTATATGCCTGTCGTACCTACCTGTTGTATTTGTGTGTACTCATGAATTTTACTGCTTAAGACATCCCTTCCCCCCACCCCTAATCGAAGGCAGTCGCTCACAGAGCCATGTTCGACGCCTGCTGGTCGGAAGTAAAACTGGACGAAGCGGGTAGCGCCGCCGGACGGTTTTGATGCCCAGCTGAAGCTCTGTCGCTCTGTGCCACACAAAGCTGATGTCAACGCATGGATCAAACCCTGGGGTCGGTTTGGGCTCGCAGGTCTTGTGTCTGTTCCTATTCAAAGTGTGTGTCCAGGGAGTTTGTGACAGCGGGGAGGGGTGCACCACGCTAAGGACTGCAGAGTCACTGCGTGGGCATAGCTCGTGCGAAATAGGTAGGGTCCAGCACATGGTTTTTTTCTGAGACGCGCTCCCAAGGGTGATCACGGCGTGTGTCCTATCGCGTGTTCCTGCTCAGCGCCGCATGGCTGCAGTGAGCTGAGAAGGACCTTGAACTTTCCCCGCCCGAGAGTGAACCAGACCGGCGCAGGCCTCGCTCTCTTGACCGATCGTTCCACGGGGCGGACCTCGTGAGACCCGTTTTGGGGATTCGAAACCCTAACCTCGCCCGACGGCTGAGGAGGTCAGCTCCCGCACCGTGTCACGTGTGCGCGTTGACACGGGATTACCGCTGTATTGCGCTGGGGGCCGCCCCACGTGCCCGCGCTTGTCCGGCGAGCGAAGCGCCGTTTTCATACGGGAGCCGGCCGAGCTCCATGCAACGTCGGCTGCGCGTTCAAAGACCGCCGCTCAGCAGACACGCTGGCGCAGCGGCCTGGCCGGCGGAAGAGGCACATGCGGGGCCAGCTGTGCTGGGAGCTCAGCCAGACTGGTTGCGCACGCGCCGCGCGTCAGTTCAGTCCGGCCGTTGGCTAGGATATGCGTGATCTCGGGTCACATCCGCGTAGATTCGTCGAGTGTAGCCGTACCGGCAGGGCGACCCCGCTGCGGTGGCGCCGGAGCGTGCCCACTGTCTGGCTTAGTGGTGTCGGGTCAGTTTCGGTGTCGTCATGGTCCCCCGCGTGACGTCATATCATATCGCTCTCGCGTCCGAGCCGTACCCGGCGCCCCCTCCCCTTCAGATTTAGCCTCACTTGGAGGCGGATCTCGGCACCGGGCAGGTAGCACCAACGTGCGGTGGAACGTGCCCGGTGGCGCCGTTTCTCCCCCCCCCCCCCCACATTGGAATCGTAACGGCGGCGCGTAGGCTAGCGGTGTTGCGACCGATGTCGGCCACGGGGCGGCGCCGCTGTGATTCAGAGTGACGACAGACATATTTTTCACTTCACTATGCCGCTTACGAATAAACCCACTCGGTCTGAGCAGTGCGTGTCTGCATGTCTACGTGCTGGCGTGGAGAAGTGTTCAGACAGAGAACCAGCGTAACGGTGTGTAGCGGAATGTCTGAACGACGAACCAGCGTAACGGCTTGTAGTGGAGTGCTCAGATGGAGAACCAGCGTGACGGCGGAGATGGCTCTGGGGGTGTTGGCAGAAATGGCTACAATTTCGCGATGCCAAGCAGGACGGCGGTCGCAGACATATTTCTCCATGTATCTCAAATGGATGCAAGCGTAATTATATCGGCTCGAGTTGTCTGTCCTCCGCAATGTTCGACCAAAAAATACATTTGCGCATGGTAAATCTTTTATTCGGCATGTAAAAACCGACAAATCACGGAGGACCCGTCAGCATCAGACTGAAGGGGCTCCCGCAGGCGACTTCGATCGAGATCTCTTGTCCGCCGCGTTGGTCGTCTGGGTCCGGAGTTCAGTGGCACGACCCACTGACAGTAGGGATACGCGTTCGGTGGCCGGGTTTCGAGCGTGATGGCACGGTTGCGCACGGGTCGTGGCCCTGTTCGCGGTACAGTCGAAACATCGGTGTTCACGGTTGTGCCCACACGGGAGTGCCCCTGCATCAGCGCCTCTGACTCGTCTGTTTTGTGTGGGTATCGCGGCCAGCGGTCAAGACACGGCACGCTTAGTTTTCGCGTGCTCGTTTTTGTGGTGTCTTGAGCTATTCTTATGATACGGTACCGTACTTCGAAACAAAAGGCACAATTCGCGACGTGGAGGCTTAACTTTTGCAGCATTTCCATTCGCATGCAACATGTGTGTATTAGTAGCACCGCCATCTTTGCTGGTCAATTTATGCCAAATGCACAATTTTGGGGCATCTGCATGAACTGCAGACATCTTGCGGCTCACGTGGCTCGCTGGTTTTGAGCCATACGCGGTGCTGACCGGTGCGAGAGAAGGGTCAGAGAGCAGACTCTCCGGGCGTCAGAATCCCGGCACTCGTCGCGCTCAGGTGGCAGCAGAGGAACTCTGCCACTGCTGAGGAAGTCGGAATAGATTGAGCTGGGAAGACGCTCCTGGTTGCTTCGCCACCTGTTCTACAGAAACGAACGGAAATATCCTTTTCTGCCTGCCGTCGGTCCCCCGCGGCCGCCGCGTGTCAAAGAAGTCTACAACAGATTGCAACATTATATTTACACTCTCCAGACTCCTCCAGACTCTCTCAATGGCTGCGACTACCCGGGAGACCGCGCAAGGCGTCGCAGAAAGTGAGACGGGCCAGGGCGTGACCCTCCACTCCCGCACGACCCGGCTCGACACAGCCGCGGTCGTGGCGGCCGGGCGACACCCGAGACCCCTCATCCTAAAGATCTGGGATGATGTGTGGTTATGGCAATGATCAATGATCGGTCATGAGCGGCGGAATGCGTTAAGGTGATCGAACACTGATGGGATGAACTGCAACGGGCCAGGCAGCGCACAAGAGCAGTTTGACCGTCACAGAGGATAATCGGCTGTGCAGAATCGGGCCGGCTGAACAGCATCTCGTGCCAGGTTGCACGATCACACAAACAGGCTTGGCCCGGACGCTTGGTCGGTTTAAAACCTGCTAACTTGTGCGCCTAACACTCCACAGCCAGTCTCCCTCGCATTACGAGGCAAGCTCCATCGAACCCGGGCAGGTCACTGGCAAAGCGCACGCGACACTCATGAACGTCGCCCGTCGCACGATGAAACTGTCTCGATCCCCGCTCCGTTCGGCCGCCGTGCGATGGGCGGCGCCCGCGCCTGAGGCGATGATATGAGCACAGGTGGGGGTCAGCCCGCCAAGGACGGGCCTGAAGCCGCGCGTCACGACAGCGCGTCGGCCGGCGCCAGCAGCGCCGCCTGCAGCTCGCGCACGGTCAGCAGGCGACCGAGCAGGCGACGCAGCGTGGCGCCCTCCAGCGGCCGCGCCGAGAACCAGACATTTGCGTCCGGCCGGCAGTCGTCGGCCGGCCACAGGTAGAGCGGAGCGGCTGGCGGGCGGCGCGCTGACTCCGGGCTGGCGACACACGAGGACGCGGCATCCGTCAGGCACCGCCGCAGCCGGTCACGGTACAGGGCAGCGGCACATGACAGACAATATGCCAACTGAGACAAAAATCAGCCGGGCTCACCAGTGAGGAGGGTCGGTCAAGGTCAGAGCACAGGGCAGTATCGCTCAGTCCGGGTCAGGCCAGGGAATAGGCAGGGCGCAATCAGTCTGGGTCCAGGGTAGAGGGTCGGCCACCACGCAGTCTGGCCACGAATGTGACGCTAAGGCTACGCCCCGGGAACATGGGTGTACGTGAGATACAAGCGTATCAAGTGTGTCTACTGAGAGATACATGCATATACAGCGTGAAATACAGGCGTATGTAGCGTGCGGTACAGGCGTATACTGTGCGTACACCGGGAGCTCCGTGTTGGAGTTTGGACAGAACAATTGGCGCCACTGACAGTACCTACTGAGGCAAATCGACCGGTCCCTGACACTCAATTCCCCAATTTGAACAAAGCATGGGTGAGTAGAGTAACCATATGCGCAGCGGTGGGCCCGGAGTCTCATGGGCAGCCTGGGGTGATCCTGTGGGAACCAATCAACGGATCGAAACGGTAACGGATCGACGGGTTAACCTCCGGCATTATTTAGAGGTCCTGTACACAGTACATCTGGAAACACAACTTTGCCAAGATGACCTTCTGGCAAAAGAACGGGGGAATCTGGATATCAGATATAAACTACTCTTGCGATGTTGAATCAAAAGGCTGTATGTCGTGAACCATCGATCGGACTGAGCTCAAACCTTTGCAATATATATGTCCGCCAAATTACCCCACATGCTGATTGCTACGGAAACTACTGATATGGGGACGCGACATCGCCGTTTTTTCGCTCGATTGGTCTTGGAGCGCACCAGGAGCAGGATGGCTAGGACAGCACCCGGGACGTCGTGTTACGCCACATTCGGGCGGGGATTGAGGGCGACTCCGCGGGACTAGAAGCAAGCCCAAGATCCCACAAAAGAGTCGGGTCAATGGCACAAGGGGCGCAACTCAAAGGGAAACCAATCCCAACAAACAATACAGACCAACCATCAAATACAGGGCAACTGCACGGCTATCCAGCACATCATCTGAGAGCACATACAGGGGCATAGAGGGAAGAAAACAAGACAGAAGTGTTCACCAAGACGACTGACCAGCTGCAGCAATAGCTAGCGCGCATCCGCCCCGTACTCACTCACCATCGACTGACGTAGAACTCGAAAAACCGAACCGGACACTTGAACGCGTCCACCATGTCAACCGGAATCTCGCGAGCTTTCTTCCAGCCGTCTGAAAGGCATGGTGTTCTCAGTTTCCGGTAGCTAGCAGCATGGCAGGCTGCACAGTACACGATAGACTTTCTCAGGCGTCAATAATATCGGTTAATTAACAACGGCATGCCAAGTGCTGACGAAAGGTATCATCTTGGAACACATTCGATTTGGCAAAAATGAAATAAAATGTTTTCTTCCAAGATTACAGATGGACATGCTTGCCCATATTTGCCACGGGCATGTGCATACTGACATGGATATTCATACTTAGCACGAATATAACGAAAAAGATAGTTCCACAGTCCATTGCCGATCACATTCTACGCGGGCCCAAACAAAACAGGCAAAGGCAGGCACTTGCCTGCGATTCAAATCAAAGCCGCCAGATTGGGCCGAATATGCGGAAGGACGAGTACCAACACATATCAAGTGAAGCCGGATGCCGCGTTGCCACGGGTGTACTCACAGACGCCGACTGAGTCCTCCACGCGGATCGGGTCCTCGTCACCGGGCCGCTTCTGTCGGGCCCTGATGCCTTCCTCGATCATACCGAAGTTCAGCTTCTCATGCAGCTTGGCCGACTGGCGAAAAATGGCAGAACCAGTCAGCCACCACCATCGCTCCCAAGGCGCCCGAGAGAACGCGTCCGACAAGCATGCGGCCAGACCAGCTGCAGGTTGTCAGTGGCTGGCACCCTATTTGAGCACACAAATTATGTCATGTTATGCAATACTCGGGGCGCGCTTTCCACGCGTTACCCACGCAACACCTGGAGCAATGGCCAGCCTGCGCGATACTTCAGACGCCAGAGCGTTCTTAACCACTCACTCATCGTCCCAAGCACAGGGGACGCCACCTTCCAACAACGGTCCTCTTCACAGCACCGCCGCCCGCCCCGAGCGCAGGGGACACCACCTTCCAACAACGGTCCTCTTCACAGCACCGCCGCCCGCCCCGAGTGCAGGGGACACCACCCTCCAACAACGGTCCTCTCCACAGCACCGCCGCCCGCCCCGAGCGCAGGGGACACCACCCTCCAACAACGGTCCTCTCCACAGCACCGCCGCCCGCCCCGAGCGCAGGGGACACCACCCTCCAACAACGGTCCTCTCCGCAGCACCGCCGCCCGTCCCGACACAGCAGCCCGCACGTTCGGAGGGCGGCGGGCCCGACGGCGCCGCCAACTCACGCCGAGCCGGAGGTGTTTGGCGGCCAGGAACACGACAGTGGTGAGCAGGGCGTGCGGCGAGTGCGGCCCCAGCACGCGCGCCTCCCAGAGCTGGCGCTCCTCCACGTGCGTGGTCAGCGCCGTCCCGCGAGGCACCAGCTCTGCGGCACAGGCGCGCGGACGAACGTCACGACACAGGCCACAGCTCAGGTGCGCCAGGGCGCCTTGCAGCTGGCGGCACGCTTCTGTACGCAGATGCCGCTCTCAATGTGGCGAAAGTTTAGGACGAGACATCGAACGGAACGACCTGCTCGTGAATACTCGAGCGTGCGCGCGCGCACACCTAGACATACACCCAAACACAAGCCATCCTCGACATTCCCACCTCACGTTTAAGACGCGACACCGCCTGAGCTGCTACGGATTAGTCCCGGTATTATCCGCAACGAGGAATGGTCTCAAAGAAAAGCATAAACATGCAACTGTGGATATCGTGCAACTACCCCACAAGAACAACATAATGCTCTCATAGGCGGCGCCAGTAATCGCCACTGGAAATCGGAGCACGACAGGCGTTATGCTGCCGGGTATCTTATGTGCAAAACAGAACAGGTACATCGATCCTGCCTTTGTGCCCTGTCTGCCTGCTTCCTCACCTGCTAGCTGTACCTTGCTCACCATCGGCTGCAGCCTCCGCTCCAGCACGTCCACCAGCCGGTCATAGTCGGCGTCCCAGAACACGTCGTCATTCCTGCCATGCTCGCGCAAGTACAGCTGGATCCCTGGCGACGGGGTGGGG